AACAAAAACAGCAGAAACAAAACGCATGTCAAACGGAGCCGTAGAGAACAAGCTTTACACTCCACAAAATTTTGAAATAAGTCCATAATCACTTTGAACGATTTAATAAAAGATTTGAATTAAAGAAAATATATGTAATCTCAAAGTTATTGTTAGAACCAGATCACATAAATAACGATATATCCAATATAAGAGGAGATAATCTTATAAATATAAATATGTGATAAATAATAATATTCTAAAAAATATAATTAAATAAATTAAATATAATTTCAAATCAGGGCATAAAGGCGCATAGTTACTTCTTGAAGATAGTTGAAGCCTCTCCTATGTACAATTGGAATATTAAATGGCAACACTATCTCCAAGATTTAACTAAGCCAAATTCAGCATAGTTGAAGCCTCTCCTATGTACAATCGGAATATTAAATGACAGCACTATCTCCAGGTTTCAACTAAGCAAGATTCAACAATTTGTATCCATAGAGTGGCATTCTCTGTAAACTCGTGTATGTCCACAGTAGAGTGACATTTTCTATAAGGTATTTTATTAAGCAACCCAAGGTAGTAGTTACAATTTATTTATGAAGGATTAAATAATATATTTAATGATGGAAGCTTATGAGTCAGTTAGAGGAAAACATCAGTTACCATATTGATATTGATATTAATAATTATGTTCATTTAATTTTGTAACTGATGAAGGGAGATGACAACTGAAAGTTAATAGAGATTCTTGAGAGCCATCACCGGTGAGCATCATCAAAGATAGGAGCGTTATATACTCCCTGATTAGGCAGTGGAATCTAGAAACTGATTAGGGTTAGATACAAGTGTATGTATTTGTGTGTATATATATATTGTGTGTGTGTGTGTGTGTGTGTGTGTGTGTGATGTGCTTGGGTTATTTATGGACTTCAATTATGTTTAGCTCACAAAGTGATCTGAGGTCGCTGGCTAATGAATGGCTGACCTAAAATGCGGGCGTGCCAAAGTCCTGATGGACTCGAATATTTCTTGCCAAATTATTCCTATCGAGTCGGGTTACCGACCTAATGTGATTCAAGCGAAAGTTGGAGAGTAGGAATAACCCTCTCCTTAAAGTTGCTATTGCCTTTAAAAAAGGACTTTAAACATTCAAGATAGATATCTATTAGAAGCAATATTAATTGGACAATAAATTTACCTGAATCTGCAAACCTTTCTTCATTGAACTTGACTGATTACAATGATGAATGAATCACAAACTCTTGATTGAAAATAATAAACTGAACTTGAGCAAATAAAAACTATGTGCTAAGTGATATGAATTCTAAAGGCCTGAACTTTAAATATGGTCCTAGACCCCTCCTTGTGAGACTTGAGTGGGTATTTATAGAAGCCTTCACCTAGTGTTGTCCCTTTCAAACCGTTTCTCTAGAAATTAATTGGTTGCAAGCTGAAAATGACTTCTTTTAACCATCTTGTTGAGCTGGTCAGGTTGACTGACTTGCACATCTCTCTATGGGCAGATACAAATATGTCTAACATAGTATTTTTGACTAAATGGCACATCTTCTTTCAAGTTTGATGATTTTGGTCTTCAAGCCATTTTCAACTTTATGCATCTGTAATGCTTGGCTTGATTTGTACATTGGCTTGGAATCATCTGATTACTAACAATTTTGACTTTCTTCATCAAATGTAGGTGAGAACCTCCATCTGTAGTTCTGAATCTCTGGACCTCTGACATGGTCAAGTTATCCTTTTTCTATTTCAAGTTTTCTTTAAGCTTCTAGACCTGACTTATTGGGTTCTTGAAATATTGGGATTCACAACCGGTTTTTATTTGAATTACACCAAAGATTATTCAAGTGATTATGACCCAAAGAACTATTAGATCCATCTTAAACTGAGCTTGTCCATCAATTAGGTGTACTCTCGATCATTGGTAGAAACTGTCGACCATGGTTGGTCGAGAGATTTTCTTAGGTCATAATGACTGAAACTCTTGACCATGACCATAGAAAATCTCAGGTCATGATGGTTGAGAAACTTTCTTCAGTCATAATGATCCATGGACCTCCATCAACCATAGTGGTCGATAAGACCTCTATCAATCTAGTGGTCAATGGACCTCCGTCAGTTTAGTAATCGATAGACCTCAGTCAATCTAGTGATCGATGGACCTTCGTCAGCCTAGTGGTCGATAGACCTCCGTCAGCCTTTAGTGACCGAGATCCCTTGGCCATTGTTAGCCATGAGCTCAACATCTTATCTCAGTCAAGAATTCCATTCTTCTTTAATCTCGACTTAATTCCAGCCACCATGATTAAAAATTAATCCTTCGCCCTGACGATCGTGGGCTAATCCATAGCTCAAATATCAGGTTTTTCGACCACGTGGCATAGTTACTTTGGATCATATTTTAGGTGTTAACAAATTAGTGTTGGGTTTTGGTTTTTTTTAAAAGGACCAAATTAGTTGGGTTAGTTGGGCCTTTTTTAAAACCAAGGTTAGGCTTAAAAGTTATATTTATTTTGGGCTGGGCATTATAATGTGCAAGAGATTAAAAGTTTTGAAGTTTTGTATGTGGACCAAATATAATATATATTTTCAGGTTATATTTTAAAATAAAATGCATTTTCGTGAGCGTAAAATGAGTTTTAGGAATAAAACAAATAAAAATACAAACCGAACTGTTAACTAGCCTGAGTCCACCACCAAATGAGTTTTAGGATCCTGGTATGCTTTACTACTTTTTAAAGCCCTAAGATGAAAACACCACCACCAAATGAAGTTTTGAAGAAGTTTAATTTCATTATTTTATGGCAGGAAATTAATAAGATGGAAAAGAGAGCAAAAAAAAAAAATATGATGACAGGAAGAGAAAATGGCAAGATATTATTGGCTTTTTTGCACATGATTTTTTATTACTTGTGGAAATGTATAGAATAGGAAATGAAGAAGTCTGTAGTTTGTATTCAATTCATGTAGGGGGCTTTTCACTCGAGTCTCGTGGACTAGTCGGACAAAGCCTAAACACAAAAAAAAAAGAAAAAAAATGTGTGCAATAAGTATGAATATGAGAGTGCGGTTGAAAGTTTTCAGACGATGAAGATTGAAGGGACCATACTTGAAAATAGAAAAGGAAAAAAGAAAAAGACATGCATGGATATTTTGACTCCTCTTAATTATTAGACAAAATGAAATAAATAGATTTGAGATATTCGACCTCTCATGTATTAAATACATGAAGATTGATGGGGCACATTCTTAGGCCGGCAAAACGGATGGCTCCAACCTGAGCCCAGCCCGAATAATTTTGGGCTTGGGCTACGTAAATTGTAAATCTATCCCAATTTGGGATGAAAAGTAAGAATTCGATTTCATTTCGGACTTGAATTACTCAGTAGGGTAGTCCAAAGTCCAACTCAAGCCCATTCCGAAGTGTAAAACTTAACAAACCATAATGAATGGATTATATATATGTATTTTCATCCCTAGCAATGAATTGTTTTTAGATTATTTTCGTCCCCGCCTGAGTTGAAAGATCGAAATTGCAAACGCAAATTCAACTCAAGTTTAAAAAATTAAAAATAAATTGAACTTGACTAGGTTTTGAGTTCGGATTAAAAAAATTTATAACTCGCTTTAATCCAAGTTGATCTTTCAACGTGCTCGAGTGACACACATACACATGATCTAAGTCATATAACTCTTTTAAACAGATGCCGCTCTATAGCTCCGCGCACACTCCCGCCCCTGCGTTCTTTGTACCCTGTGTGACTTAGCGTTTTTCTTTATCGAATTTCTTTTTGTATTTTACTTTTTATAGCTTATTCTATTATTGATTATTGTCATGTTTGGCAATTATCATCATGGTTATCACAACTTAGTACGACGTGGTTTTTCGTGCGAGCAGTTATGGCAAAGCAGAGAACGTAACTCGCGGGAACATATATATTTAAGAAAATAGACCCCAAAAGAAACGGACTTTTGAACGGTCACAGACTTCAATTCCAAAGAAGCCGACAATCAAAAAAGAAAAATAGAAACCATTTTTTTTTTTTTCCCGAGAAGGTCAAGATACGAACTTTTTTGTCAAATAAGAAAGTTCTTTGTTTTGATTTTGACCCAACCTCCGATTTTTTCCTTGGAATTTCCGTTTCCTTTTCTTCAGGTTCTAACCATTGTCATCTATAGATATACACCTTCCTCTGTATCTATCCACTTTTTTGGGTTGTTTCAGGTGCTTTTTGATACCACTACTTTGGCTGGTTATTTTATCTATTTTTCTGATTCACAATCAAGAGTTTGGTGGAAATTTGGATCTTCATTTGCAATACCCATATTGGTTCTGCTGGTTTTTTTTGACTGGATGGCGATGGATTTTGCTGAATTCTATTGGATTGTTAGCTATCCAATAGAATTCAGCGACTGATTGATAATTTGGTAGATGAAGGTACAGATTAGTCCTATTATCATTATAATTGTGTGTGCGCTTTGATTTTATGTGTCATATATGACTTTAGAATGAATTTGTTAGATCATGTATAATAATATATGTGCCTTGTTTTCATTTTCCTATGATCCATTTCATAGCTAAAAAACATTGATATCAGTGTGAATTATTATTCATTCATTCATTCAATCTCTTCTTCCTTTCATTTCTTATAATATATTGAATTATTAACATAATTGATATTAGAATGACTCTATTTGTCTAAGCATATATATGCCTTGTTTAAGGTTATATACCGCCTCTCTAGATCCCGCTAATCCTCTTCAGATACCGCAATGACGGAACTTCGTGCACTGAACTAGCCCTTTACCCATTACATTGCTTCCTATAACAATTATTTTCTTCCCTCCCTCCCCCTTTGGGAAAATTTTAGAATACCCCGGGAGTACCGTGCTAGGCTAGGCTAGGCTGTGGTGTTGCCTCTTTTCCTTTGCTGCTTTGTCATTACTGATCGTGTATTTTTCTTTTCATGCTAGGCTAGGCTGCGGTGTTGAAATCTGCAGAATTTGGTGGCGTTGTATCGTAAGGATTTGGCGTGAATTTTTACGTGAATTTTGTTTCTGAAAGCTGGAATGGATCAGTTTCGGCAGGTTGGAGAGGTTTTGGGTAGTTTGAAGGCACTTATGGTGTTGAAAGATGACATTTCAGTCAATCAAAGGCAGTGTTGTTTGCTGCTTGATATGTATAGCTTGGCCTTCGAAACTATTGCAGAAGAAATCAGAAGAAACCTGAGACTAGAAGAGAAGAACATGAAATGGAAAGCACTTGAACACCCTATGAGAGAGCTTTACAGGATCTTCAAGGAAGGTGAACTCTACATCAGACAATGCTTGGACATCAGAGACTGGTGGGGCAAGGCAATTAGTCTCCATCAGAACAAGGACTGTGTCGAGTTCCACATTCACAACATGTATTGTTGCTTCCCTATTGTCATCGAGGCCATTGAGACTGCTGGAGAAATCTCGGGTTTAGACCTAGATGACATGCAGAGGAGGAGACAGGTGCTCATGAGAAAGTACGAAGAGGAGTGGAATGACCCGAAGCTCTTTCAGTGGAAGTATGGGAGGCAGTACTTAGTCCATCGAGAGATATGCAGCCGGTTGGAGACAGCTTGGAGAGAAGATCGATGGCTGCTTCTCGAAACACTGAGGGAGAAGAAAAGTTTGGTACCAGCCACTTTGGCAAAGCATGAGCAGAAGCTTGGGGACCTACTGCTTAAGAAATTAAATGGTTCGGAACCATCAAATGAGAAGCTTTTGCCCAGTTGGATCTTAGTAGGAGCAAAAGATTATTTTGTGAAGCGAAGGTTGGGATCCGGGGCAAGCCGGATTAAGGAGATCCAGTGGCTGGGAGAGACTTTTGCTTTGAAACAATTCTTTGGGGAGATTGAACCACTAACTAATGAGATTTCTCTGGTTCTGTCTCTTTCACACCCCAACATAATGCAATACCTTTGTGGATTCTATGATGAGGAAAAGAAAGAGGGTTTTCTTATTATGGAGCTGATGAGCAAGAATCTTAGTACCTTCATAAAAGAGAATTGTGGACAAAGGAAGCGCATTCCGTTCTCTCTTCCAGTTATGGTTGATGTTATGCTTCAGATCGCGAGAGGTATGGAGTACCTTCACTCTCAGAAGATTTATCACGGATGTTTGAACCCGTCTAATGTCCTTATTAAAGCGAGGAATGCACCAGTTGGAGGTTACTTTTATGCAAAAATAACTGGTTTCGGCTTAACATCCATCAAGAGGTACAGAAATTCTCCAAACCAGAATTCGGACAACCCTGTTATATGGTATGCACCAGAAGTTCTGGCTGAGCAAGAACAGCCAGGTAATAAATGTAGTTCAATGTACACTGAGAAAGCTGATGTCTACAGCTTTGGCATGCTTTGTTTCGAGCTTCTGACTGGGAAAGTTCCATTTGAAGAAGCTCATCTTCAAGATGACAAAATGAGCAGAAACATAAGGGCAGGGGAGAGGCCTCTCTTCCCATACACTACGCCGAAATACCTTGCAAACATAACAAGAAAATGTTGGCAAGCTGACCCAAACTACCGCCCAAGTTTCTCATCCGTATGCAGGATTTTGCGTTACATCAAGAAGTGTCTCGTGATAAATCCTGATCACGGTCAGCCAGAAGCACCGCCACCACTTGTAGATTTCTGTGACATTGAAGCAGGGTATTCAAAGAAGTTCCCTGAAGAGGGAAATCCTGATTTGGCAGCAATCTCACAAATTCCTTTTCAGATGTGTGCTTATAGACTTGTGGAGAAGGAGAAGACTTCTGGGAGATTTAGAGACAAGGGTTGGGATTTAGCAAATGAAACATCATCTTTTAATGGGGATGAGAATGGGGTTGCCATGGAAGATCCGTTTCTGGCAGTTGATGAAAGATCAGTTTGTTCCGACTTTCCTGAAAGGAGACCTTTTTCAAGATTTAGAGAGGATCAAAGGTCCGTTTGTTCAGAAGCTCCACTGGGAAGAATGTTATCATCGAAAGGATTTGATCAAAGGTCAGTCCGTTCTGAATTCCCATGGAGGAAACTTGACCAAAGGTCAGTTGGTTCTGAGACTCCAGGGAGGAAATTCGATCAAAGTTCAGTTGGTTCTGAGACTCCATGGAGGAAATTCGATCAAATGTCAGTTGGTTCTGAGAATTCTGGGAGGAAAACTTTGTCAACTACAGCAGGTGATCCAGAGAGAAAAATGTTGCCAACAACAGAAGCTGATCAAACCTCAGTTGCTTCTGAGATCCCAAGGAAGAATAGTTTGTCCACAATAGCAGCTGATCAAGTGTCAATTGGTTCTGAGCCTGAAGAGAGGAAAACTTTATCGACATCAATAGTTGATCGGACACCAGCCATTTCTGAGTTTCCTGAGAAGGGAACTCCATCAACAACAGCAAACAATAAAAAGTCAATTTGTTCTGATAATCCAGAGCAGGCAACTTCACCAATATCAGAAAACAATCAAAAATCAGTTTGTTCCGAGTGTCAAGAGAAGAAAACTTCAACAACAACAACAATAGCATGTGATCAAAAGTCAGTTTGTTCTGATATTTCAGAGAAGAAAACTGTGTCAAGAAATAAAAAGTCAGTTTCTTCTGAAAATCCAGAAAAGAAAGTTGTCTCGAAGAAAGGAAGCAATCAAAGGTCACATCATTCTGTGATTCCAGAGAAGAAAGTCTCGTTGAAGAAAAAATTGAAAGATGTAAAGGCCAGCAAGGGTCCAGGTTAGTCTTATTACAAAACTGCAATCAAAGGTCAAATCGTTTTCATCTTCTTATTTCTAAAGCAATTATGGAACAACTAATACTACCAATCTAAGCATCTTGATTTGGTTACAGACTCACCAAAAGGACATTTGCCAAGATCACCATCACGGTCAACGAAAGGACATTCGCCTAAATCTTCATCGAAGTGTTCTTGTGCTCGCTGTTCAAAGATGAACAGAGAGAACCCCTTACCATCTTTTATGAGTCCGATTGGACACGTAAGAGATCACAGTGCAGACTCGGAGGAGACATAGTTTATCTTTCTTTCACCATTAATCAACCAAAGTTGCCAGACCTATACAGAACTTCCATACATACTGCAGGTTCTTCCAAAAGGAAAATGTGCATATAATTTTTGTTTCATTTTCCCACCATAAAAACAATGTAGTTTGCCTCTAGAAGGTAGGCGTAGTTGAACTTGCACACATGTCCTGTATCTATGTTCAAGAATAATCTGTTGTATATTACTAGCTGGAAAAAGATTTCTCTTGTTGACCATATGTTGCAATGCAGAAAGTGATTACCTTTGATAATGCACAGGTTGTCCAACCCTGCAAAGTTTCTGATTCTTCCAGGGGCTAAAATCTGCTCACTTCCTCAGAATCTGAGTTTCAGCAACATTCCATCATTTGATCAATGCAATACATTTATCTTTTCGCAGAGCCTGAAAATGTTTTAATGATGTAAATAAACTGAAGTACTTAATGATAAGTAAAAATAAGTCCCATCTATGCAAGTTTCTGGATACTGGAAGGAAATGATTGGAGACAAATCTAACTTTTAACATTTTATTGCATGAAGTGACTATTCTTATAATTATGAAGAAAAAAAAATGACTATTCTTATACTGCATCAGTGTCTAAACACTTGTCAACCTAAGTTTTTACCGTTGCATTACGCAACGGCTCATTAGATGCTAACCAAAATTCACAACAGCAGAAGGAAAGCATGATAGATAGGTTTTCAGTTGCAACTTGCAACAACCCAAACTTGCAAGCTGCAACAACCTAAATTTAGATGGAATATTGAGTTTTAATATATATTCTTCAATCAACTAAGAAAATATATATATATATATTCTTCAATCCTTTAATAGTACTTTTAATATATAATTCGTCAATTCTTTAATCAATTCTGGATTTCTCCCAACAGTGGAGGAGTTTGTTTGGGAGGTGTGATTTCCCACCATGATGGCAGCATGACATTTTAAAATTTGACAAATAACAATATAGCACATGCAGTTATATCTTAGAATGTAAAATCTTCATTTGCATTGAAAAAAGAAATACAGTAGCTGATTTTACTTTGCATTGTACAGTATAGGTGACCCTTTTATACTTCATTATTTATTCAGGTATAACCGTATTAGCATCTATACACTTGTCAACCTAAGTGTTTAGTGTTGCATTATGCAACGGCCCATTAGATGCTAGCAAAAATTCACAGCATCACAAGGAAAGCGTGATTTAGCAGGTTTTGAGTTACAACTTGAAACAACCCAAACTTGAGGATTTTTTTTTTTTTTTTTTGGTTTTTCCTTCCTAAGGAAGTAAGAACTTGGTTCAGCCTTTTGAGTTTCTTTGACAGCTTAATGCATCCTTATCAGGATCTTTCTTTTTGGGTCTCTCTGATTGCTTTAAATTTGGTTCAAGATTCGCTACCTATTTTTCTTTATATTTTCAATCTCAGTATGTTCCGTATGCAATCTATTTTACTTTGTAATATTTATAGTGGCCAATTCTTGTTGAGGTTGAAGGCAATGTTGTGTCCTTCTATGTGAGAATATACTTTTGTTTTATCAGGAAAGAAAAATTTGCTATAGCTGTAAAAGAGGGACTGCAACCCAATAAACACAAAAAATACAAAAGCAAAATATTCAGATGCCAACAACAAAGAACGAAAATTTGTCTCTTCAAAAATTTCAACCAAAGAACCAATAAAAATAAGCTTATGACACCATACAATGATCTCAACAGAATCTGGTTTATCCCGTACAATTGAAACCCCACCCCTCCAAAGGATATCCGATTCCTTTCTAACCAAATACACAACTGATATTCGTCATGGAAACTATAAAAATTCTTCTGTATATTCATCCAATAAGCATGCATCTATAGAAAAACCAAGCCATTTTAGGATTTAATGAAATTAATCATGGATCTTAAAAGGTCAAAATCTAGGTGCATTTGAAACGGATTGCTTGCTTCCACAGTTTTAAGTTTCAACTGAAGGTTCGAGACAATGTACAAAACATGTTTGAGACAGTGCACAAAGGGTCGAGGCTAGTTTCACATGGCTTATTAAGCTACAATGGATAATTTTTTAATAAAAAAAACACACCGGTGATATCAGTGACATGATATCACCAGAGCAGTCGATGAATTTTTTGGCAATGGCAACCTACTCAAACAAGTCAACTCCACCTATATTTCCGTGGTCCCTAAGCATCCTAACCCTTCTTCATTGAATGACTACAGGCCCATATCATGTTGTAATGTAATTTATAAATACATATCCAAGCTCTTAGCCCTCAAAATCCAACCAATTCTTCCATTCATCACAGAAACCACCCAAACAGCCTTTGTCTCCGGCAGAAAAATTAATGACAGCATATCGCTCACCCAAGAGCTTCTAAGAGGCCATCACAACAGTAACAAAGCCCCTAGATGTGCCATAAAGTTGGATATAAGGAAAGCATTTGACTCTGTGTGGGATTTCTTGATTGACTGCCTTTCTTTCCTTGGTTTCCCAAATGCGTTCATTGCACGGGTTAAAGAATGCATCTCCTCTCCTCCTTTTTTAATATCCCTGAACAGTGAACTGCAAGGGTATTTTAGAGGAGTCAAGGGCCTTAGGCAGGGGGATCCCAACTCCCCCTTCCCATTTGTTATACCAATGATCCAATGGATATTTTTTCCTCTGTCACCAAACACTTCATCTCCTCAAACTCAAAATTCAGGTACCGTTGGAGATGTAAGAACCTCAAAATCAGCCATCTAAGCTTTCTTATTCTGCCATGGTGACTTAGGCTTTGTCACTACCCTCAAACAGGCTGTCGACAACTTTTCCATTCTCTGAGGCCTCACCATTAATCATTCCAAAATCTCAGTTTTTCTCTCGAACCTCTCTTCTTCTGTTGAACTAATTGTCTTAAATTACACTCAAGTACCTTATAGCCTCGTAGACGTCTACTTGGGAGTTCCATTGACGTCTACAAGGCTAAAAGCCTCGGACTGCAAGCAGTTAGTTGAAAGAATAACCGGAAGGATCCAACTTGTAAAATCAGTGATAATTAGCAACCAAACCTACTGGTCATGCCTATTCTTACTTCCTAAGTCCGTGATTATTGATATTAACAGTGCACTCAGGAACTTCCTAATGTTCAGGTACAAGCTTGAAGAAAAAATAGGCAAATATTGCATGGTCATCAATCTGTAAGCCAAAGAATGCATGAGGACTTGGGCTTCCAAACTTTGGAATTATCAAACACGCGCAGTCCTAAGGCAACTATGTGCTCTACTGAACAACCACCAACAGAGCATCTGTTCAATGGACAAAATCTTATCTAATCAAAGAGAGAAGCATTTGGGAATTGAGCATACCTCAAAACTGCTCTTGGAACCAGCTCAGGCAGGTAGCTAGACCTTTTGTCAAGCACAAAATAGGCAATGAATATTATCTCTACTTCCCAAATGAATGTCCCCTTTGCCTGTAAAATTCGGAAAACCACATCCATCTGTTCTTCTCCTGCCGATTCTCGAGCTCCGTCTGATCCTTCATACAACAGCAATGCAATTTCTTCATCTTAACACCTGACTAGAACTCTCTTATCACTTGGACTTCTCACCATTGGAAACCCAAATCGTTCAAACACTCACTCCCCAAACCTGACCCTATCTGCATGTGTTTACCAAATCTGGCGCGAAAGGAACTCTCGGATTTTCAATAATTCAGCTTCTTCCCAGAACTCTGTACTCTACAAGATCATAGAAGCCATTCCGGCTGAGCTCCGATCTTCAGTTAGGAGGGCACTGCAAGAATGGAGTAACTCATCTTCGCCTGTACAGAGACCTCCTGTGATGCCTCCAGATTGAACTTCAAAACCGTATGTGGTAATTGATACAGAAATGGAGCCAGAGCAGAATGAATTTTGTCACGAAATGGATGCAGAATTGCAGATAGTAACCGACAACGGCTATTTGCATTTAAATTTTTGTTTCGGAAATGGGCTGCTAGCATTAGGGAACCACTGAACCCATTCATGTTTTGGGCCAAACTCAATTAACCCAAACGTCTTTTGTCTTTTGTCTTGTTGGGCCTAGTGCCCCATGTACATATTGAACTTATTCACCGGACAAAACTCTGTCAAGTGTCGAGTCCTCGTCAAGTTTGAGATTAGTTTCTAAAATTTTCTATAAGGGTGTAGAGATTGAAGAGAATTGAAGAAGAAATATTCAGAGATTGTTAGAATATACAAACACCACAACACTGGCACTACACTTCAGCATCTTTTAGCACAAATTTTTATCATGGCCAGCAATTAAGAGAGTGATTGAGAGAACCATATCATCAGAAACAAAACATGCCATATATCTAATTCTATATGTATACACATCAGACTCAAAAAAAAAAAAAAAAAAAAAACACACTCAGCCTACCGGGAGCTGTTTCTGCTTCTAGCATCAGGAGCTTAGTATGTATCAAACTCAAAAAGCATACCCAGACCATTGCAGCTGTTTCTGGGATCACCACGGATGCCACTCTGATCAGACTAGTGAGAGTTTATCTAAGAGAAGAAAGGATCCTCCTTCCTCCGGTAAATCTCAAACAACTGTGTGGCGTAATGTTTGGCAAGTCTTCTACAATCATCAAGACCCTTTGGGTCATATTGCTGCAACTCCAAAACTGATTTCTTCAGCCCACCTAGTGGATCCCCACCAGTAAGAAATTTGGCCAAAGCAGTTCCCCTGAAAGGAAAAAAAAAATACGTGGTAAAACAGAAACCGAGAAACTCAATACAAACATACAGAAGAATATATATTACACAACAGCTGTGAATAAATAAAATTCAATGGAAGGATTTTATCATTAAATAAGCCAGGGAATTCTTAAAACCAAATCACTTGTGCTCCATAATTGTATTGCAGGCTTAATAGAAATACTATATAGACCAAGATCGAGTAAATTTCAGTATCAACAAGCAACCCTCTTGTTCAGTTTAGTTGTAGTAAGGGAAAAGGGTGAAGAAAGAATCAATATTAATAATAATTAAGAAAAAAAAATAGACTTTTGACAAGTTCAACGAAATCCATGGTGAACAAAAGATCATAACTGGAAATCATATTGGACAAATATTATAATGCTTATACACACAATAAATATCTTCTTCTACAAAATATTGAGAACACAATAACTTGCTTGAATTGGTTATCGGGCTCTTACACGAACCAATCATGAATGTAACATTGAATAAAGCCTAAAAACAACATTAAAAAAATCAGCTTCAGCTGGAAGTGGCAATCCTGATTGGTATGCAGCAAGTAGGCTTGGGTTAAATAACTAACCTTCCCTCAGGTTTGCCATAATTACACGGATGAAACTTTTCAAAAATCTTGCACCGAGTTCCCCAAGGTTTGGGCACTTGCTACAAATACCCCCTCCATCCAAAAATATGTTAGCTCAGTACAAAATATTGCATCATCATCATCCTTGCCTTAATCCCATATGAATGGGATCAGCCACATGAACTCTCTCCAATCTTTTCTATAACATGCCATTTCACCTACAATATTTAACTTTTTAAAGTAATTTTTAATAACCTCATCCCATGCTATTTTTTATCGCCTCTCTGTCTCTTACCTCCTACTACAACTAGTGTTCCTTGTTTGACCGGCGCATCACTAGGTCTCCGATATTCGTGTACAAACCATCTAAGTTTACTTTCTCTAATTTTCTCAATAATGGGTGCCACCACTAATTTCTCTCACACTTTCATTATTGATCCTATCTCTTCTAGTAACTCCACTCATCCACCTTAACATTCTCATTTCCACTACATGAAGGCAATATTCCTGTTTCTTTTTTAGGGCCCAACACTCAGCTCCATATAGCATAGTTGGTCTCATAACGAACCTAATTTTTTCCTTTTAGCCTATGTGTCATTCTTTTATCACATAATATCCCACTTGTTTGTCTCCATTTTGTCCAACCTACCATTCTACTAGTTATATCCCTATCTATCTCTCCACCATCTCGTATTATCAATCCTAGATAACGAAAGGGGTTGTTTTAGGTAAACTTTTGGTTTTGAAGTGTAATCATTATATTATCAATTTTCAAATCTTTATCAAATTTACACTCCATACACTTGGTTTTAGTTCGACTAATTCTCAATCCATTCGATTCTAGAACATTTCTTCGCATTTCTAGTTTTATTGTTAAGTTCTCTTTAGAGGTATCCAAGAGCACAATGTCATCGGCAAACATCATGCAACATGGAATCTCATTTTGGGATTCTCTTGTTATTTATCTAAGATCATTGCAAGTACGTATGGGTTTAGCACCGATCCTTGGTGCAATCCTACGTGTATGGGAAACTCCCTAGTGTCACCACACGTCGTATGAACTTTAGTTTTTGTATTCATGTACATATCTTGAATACTATTTATGAATTGTAAAGGAAATTGTTTTCTTTGTAGGGCCTACCAAATTATATCTCTTGGGACCCTATCATACATTTTTTTGCAAGCCTATGAAAACCACCATATGCAAGTGTTGTTGCTTACTCCTACATTCTTCATCTAATTGTCAAAGTAGGTATACAGCCTCCATTGTTGATCTCCCCGGCAGGAGTCCGAATTGGTTATCGAACACCATAGATTCCTTCCTTAGTCTTTATTCTATTACCCTTTCCCAAAGATACTCATTAATTTAATTCCTCTATAGTTGCCACAATTTTGTATATCTCCATCATTTTTTGTAAATTGGTACTATTGTACGCTTCTTTACAAAAAAAATTGCATGATCTAACCAAGATACACATCCCTCCATTGAAATGACTTTATTGCCCTTACAATGACATTTAATTACCAAAAAAAATTTATTTTTATGGACAAAAATACCCTTCTCCCCACCTCTATTTTTCCGTCTCCACCCACAATTGCCCACCCCTTCTCTCTTCCTCTCTATCTCCCTCTCCACCCACCACCACCAACAGCACAATTGAAAAAAAAAAATTTCAAACAGAACAAGATATAAAGTCATATATATATAGAGACCCATATATATAATAGTTTAACCCATATATGTAAAGTTATAAACCCAGTTTCAACAAGAACATGAATCTAATATATATAAACCCATATATACACACATATATACATGTTCGTGAATATTCAGATTGGCTTTTCCGGTCTTATAATATATTTGCCGACCCATCAAAAAATCAATCTCCCAGGTTGATGAAACTAACGACCCATTTTCTGACGCAACTAGGTAAATATATCTATGTATATGCATTTTATGTAAACAATATGAAGGGGTCTTCTGTGTTGAAAGCTTTAATGGGGTTACATTTATGTAAGCAATTGAAGGGTTACATATATATATATATATATATATATATATATATATATATATATATATATATCACATTACATGGGTTTACTCAGGTTTACCGATTTAGGTATGTGATTGAAAGGAAATGAATTTCAATTTTGAAGATGAAAAAGAGGAAGGGAGATGGTGCTCAGTGGTGGGGGTGGTGGTGATGGAGGAGTACGTAGAAGGTTTGTTTTATTATTATTATTATTATTTTGGTAATAGGATTGGATTAGATCGATGAATTGGGGCCATGATTAGGAGGGTGGTGGAGAGAGGTGGTGGCCACGGTTGGGGGTGGTGGTGGTGGTAGCAGGTTGAGAGGTTGTTGCCGCGATTGGAGGGTGGTGGAGATAGGTGGTGGCCGGGGTGGCGGAGGTAGGAGGTTGAGAGGTGGTGACCGCGGATGGAAGATGCTGGTCAGAGGTGGTGGCCATAGTTAGAGGGCGGTGGTGTAAGAGGTGGAGGAGAGTGACCAGGGAGAGGAAAGAAGAGAAAGATGAGATAAAATAAATATAATTAAAATATGGACATATCTTTTATTTTCCAAAAATTTTTACTCTTTTATTATTAAATTATTCAGGGTATAATAAAAAAATCACACAAAAATCTAACGTCCATAAGCCACAAATCGTGAGGGGGGGGGGGGGGGGGGTGTCAATGCAAGATTTTTGAAAAGTTTCATCCATGTAATTAGGGCAAACCTCAGGGGAGATCATTGTATTTAACCCATATAACTTTGTTTGTTCTGGGGTTTGGACTGATTGTGCTTGCTAGTCGATAGTGACTTACACAGGAATTCAGATTATTTTCTCGTTTCTAATAAGTATTATTTAAAGCAAATTGTACTTCCACAAACCTTTTAGGGCCTTCATTTCTGAATAATCTCCCTCTTTATTTTGAAAATTATATTACCATCAAGGGCTAATTAATTGCAAAAGAGCCTATTCCCTTACAGTACAAAAAGATTCCATAATAACATTTTCTTTTTAAGTATTTATTTATTTATTATTATTATTGTTATTATTTTGGGTGGTGGGGTACTTAATGGGTAGACAATACAAGGTTGGCTAAAAACAGCAACAATCACAGTGATGAACAAATTTTATATAAACATTATAGTTGGAGTGACAACCACCTAGATCTTCCATACTTTAATTCGAGTAATACTAAGTAATGCCCAAATTGCAACAGATCATTAATAATACTATACCGAACCTCAATTACTAAAATACAAAACTTTCATTGAAATTACACATAGGTTGCCAAACCTGATTCCAAAGCTATACTGTATGAACATGGACACGAGATATGGATTGAAATGGACGAAATGACATGACAAACTTTTTGAGAAATAGGAAACAAACTAGTCGAGGACATGACAAGAAATAAAACATGCAGTGTGCGAATGCATGCATGCATGTTCTTTTTATCCTCTCGTATAGAAGCTAAGGCAGACATGACTATTTATTGATGATACTATTTCTCAAAATTTGAGAAACATTAACTATTCTTTTACATGTTATTCCTTCTAAATTTGGGGCCTTGGAGCAATGCTAAGGTTGTTCCATTGTAACCTAGAAGTCACGGGTTCGAAACAAGAAACAACCTCTCCCCATACGGAGGTAAGTCTGCATATTCGACCTTCCCAAACCCCACAATGGTAGGAGCCTCTTGCACTGGGTTGGCCCACCTTTCGAAACTTGACACCTAAGTAAATAACCTGTTTAAGTTTTTAAAATTCAATACTAATGAAATACTCTATGAATTATTAATTTCAGTCCTTATTTTGTGAAGTTCACAATTGTTTATGTAGAGAGAGGTGAGGCGTCCATGCTGACGATCAAAGTTGTTTAGCATTCTTTCAAGAAAAATTCAGGGTATGTTCAAATACGGATGACGCAGAAAATTTTGATATTAAAAGGATCATGATTAAAATTAACATCCATCCATTGAAGAAGAATATACATCCAAAATTTGTGTGAATGTGAGCGTTTGAGTGAGTGAGGCAATAAATAAGCTTTTTTCCTTTTTATCCTTCTTTTTGTTTTCATAAATTCTTTTTCTTTTCCAAACATTGTGTGCAAACATAATTTACTTTCCAACGGAGTTAATTTAATAAAAACAACTTACTCTTTAAATATCAATCATATAAGATACCATGATAAACAAACTCAACAAGAGTTCTTCTTTTTTTTTTTTTGATAAGTCAAACTCAACAAGAGTTCTTCATTAGATAAAAATGAAAATGCAAAAAATAAATAAATAAATAAAATATTACAATAAATTGTAATTTTTAGAAAAAAGCATAAAAAGAAAACATTTTCTTTCACCATAGAAGGACAAATTAATTGGTACATAATATGTTATCATGCAATGTACTAACATTGGTAGGAAACAATCCAAATTCATCTAAATGAAAGTAGGTAGTAATGATGAAGAAAAAAAGTAATCCTTGCCTCTTTGGTCATACCTGATTGCATCAAATTGGTTAAATCCTCTGTTTTCGGAATACAAGGGACCCTTAATGGATTCCTTTGTAGAGTTTTGCTGTCTATAAAGAGCACAAATTGCATTCATACAGAGTTCAGAATCCCTCTCAAACGCTAAAAGCATGTCAGGTTTAAACGCCCATTTTTCACTGTTTCTCTTTCTCCAGAGCTCTGCAACCATGTTATTCATGTCAGAATCAGTGCAGGTTCCATCTCCTGAACTGGAGCTGTCTTCACTATCAGAGCTAATTTCATCCGGTATAAATTTGCTCAAAGGATTTCTGACATTTTGTTGTGCCTCAACTTTCTCTCGACATCGTCCTATTAGAACTGGTCTTTGCCTTGGAGGGGAGACAGCTTTTGCTATATCAATACTGCCAGAATCAGGCATTGCTCTGTAGGCATCACCAGGAGAAGTCTTATTCCCATAAATCAACTGCTTAATTGGCTTTGTTCTACGTTTTGAAATTAGGGTATTATCATCATCATCCTCACTTGGACTGAGATAAGAACACGAAGCTCGTTTTCTTTTGCTCATTTCCTTTACTACGGGGATTTCATCATCGCTGTCATTGATCTCAATAACAACTGCAGGCTCAGGTTTCTTATTAACTCCCATGGAAGAACCTTTCAGTTTGTCAGAGGTCTGGAGACTCTCCACGTCAAGCACCAACTCCTTTTTAATGACAACTTCATTGTCACAAGCCCTGCTCATTGAATTCGGACCTGCAATGCACGTATAGATCAATACAAGAAAGAACTGGCATTGTCTTTATGATTTCAAAAAGTTACTTGTTTCCAAACATACAAAAACTAAACATATAGAGGGGTCCTGGTTGAGATAGGGGCAGAGTGTGCTACTATGCTAAAACTCCTAGCCGCGGGCCTTGTAGATGGATGATAAAGAAAATAAGTTCTTGCTTGCTATGTCCCAACCAGGAGCTACAGTCCAGCTCTGATGAAAGACCAAAACAAAAAATTACTTGATCCAGTAGAACTACAATGGACTTACCCTGCCTCTGCTGCATATAGCTGATTCAGGATAGCAACCAAACCTAAGTTGCATAAAGCGCAAGAGCGCCAATGTCTAAAATATTTTGAGAGCGGGAGCGTCTCTAGAGTGTGTGTGTGTGTGTATTATGTGTATATAATTTTTTATTTTTTTTTAAATCCTTCTCAATTCCTATTATAACAACAATTATGGTGTATATGTAAACCCCAAGTTAGGGGGTTCAGTTTTCCAATCCTCGGACCTATTGGGATGAGCCAAGTATACTAACCAATAGGATGGCTTTTACTTCTTGTATAATTGACTGAGTTAAAATATATATCACTTCATATGATTAATTAATAATAACGACTATAGATAAATATCTTTTTATTTTTAAAATATTCTTATATTAAAAAAATCCATCAAAAATATTTAGACTTTGACCCGCTGCTCCTGCTCCCGATCTATTGCAAGAGTTGGGGTAACCGACTACTCACAGGAAAAACTATTGAACGGTGACGGTAAGGAAAAATACTCTGTAGTTATAATATCAGATTAATAAAATATTTCAAAGTAAATTTGGGGGATCTCAAAAGGTAAAAAAGCACATCAAAACATTTAAAATGCAAGATTTTTTTTTTTTGATAAATTAAAATGCAAGAAAATTCAATGTACAAATCTCCATCAAAGAAGAACCAGCATATACTTTATGCAAATCTGGGGTGATTTAAAGCTAACAAAAGCAAATTGAAATATCTAAAATATACAAGAAAGTTCAAAAATCAATTCTTTGTCAGAGGTATAGTGGACAAACAGTTTTTCCCTCTCTTCAAAAAACTTTTATTCAACACTGTTATCAATCTTCATTCATTGTCATAACCATTTCTCCTATTACAACTCACAATGTTTATAATGCTCAGAATATCTTTAGCGAATCACTACAGTAACAATTGTAATAGAGGATCACTCAGACTACCTTATTCAATATTCAAATTCCTCAAAGATTAAAACATGAACATTAATTTATAAACCGAAAGTGATAAGGAAGCAGTTAATACCTGACAACTGTAAACCATCAATTTCAGTTACTGGATCAGTAACAGAAACATGGGAATTTGATACACTCTCTTTAATTTGTGTATCTAACAAGTTGGTACTGCTATTACCAACACCTGTTTCATTTTGGGATTTCCCATCATCACAGGTGCCTTTCTCTATGATATCCTCTTGTTGAACCTCTTCATGGCAATTTGATACACTCTGTTTGGGCCCACTGTTTCCGGCTCCTGTTTGATTTTGGGGTTTGCCAACATCACAGGTTTCTTTCTCCACAATTATTTCATCAGAAACAGGCTGCTGTGATTCCAAAGCCTCATTTATCTGGGTCTGAAGAGACAAAGGGACTCCGCTCATCAACGTTGCAATGTCCTCCTCCAACTGCAAAAGCCGCCGTTCGAGCTGTCCAAACTTTTTCTTCCAAGCTTCCATCTCACCCTCAGCTCTTCTCTTTGTCGCATTCGAGCACTCCAAATCCGTGCTCTTAACGTTTAATTGAAAAACGAGCATCCTCTTATCAGCCTCGGCCTTTTTAGAATCCTTCAACAGGTTTGCATTTTTATCTTCGGCTCTTCTCGCCCTATCACTCTGAACCTTTTGATCTTCCTTAGAGCGAATGACTTGCTCTCTGAGATCATCACACTCTCGTTTGTATTTCTTCAATTCATCTTCGGTCTCCAACTTCGCCGATTCCAATTCATCTTTTTTCTTTTCCATCAACTCGAACTGTTTCTTCCAAATCTCAATTTCTTTGGACATATCATTTATATTCCTCTTCAGGCTCTCTTCGCGAGCAACTAAAATTTGTTGTACCTTGTCGAAATCCGAAGGCTGAAAGGCTGATCTCAGCATCGAAATGAGGTTTTGGGCACTTTCAGAGCCCAAACTGGACGCTGAACTCATCTCTGTTTGTATAATCTAGCAAAAACCTGAGAAAGAAACCAATTATAAATCTTCAACATTTCCTATGTTTAGCGAGTTAATGAAGAGCTTGCTATATACATTACACGCATACACACGCATATAGAAAGAACCAAACACCACCAAACTCAATTTATGTGATGGTTTCTTTAAATGTTTTTCCAAAACCAAATTCTTTTCATATGAAAAAAGGTGTAGATAAACATCATTATTTTCCCTTAGGCTAAAGTTAAACCTTGATAAGGCGATTCTAGAGAATTGATGGCAGGGAAAAAATAAAAAATTAAATAACTATCACTTATTAAAATGGAGCTCACAAATTGTAGAACAGCGAGTTCTAGGCTCCTAGCTAGGCTTTTTCAATATCGTTTCTTTGAGAGGAACAAAGTGGGGAAAGAGTAGAAAACTCAATGGTTGGTTTGGAACTCTTTCTGAAAATGGCCAAGTGTGTGTGTGTGTGTGTTTATATGTACTTAGGGTTCTCTTTCCAGTTAGACAGTTAGTAAATGATACTTCCATGAAAGACATAGGCTACTTTACCCATAAAAATGTAATCTAGCAAAAAAAACTGAGAGAACCCACTTTAAATATTCAACATTACTTATGTTTAACGAGTAAATTGAGAGCTTGCTATATATATACACACATATATGGCAAAATTTGTAGAAAAAAGATTTACCTGGTTGATCGGTTGTTTGGGGTGGTCTGAAACAAGAAATAGAGGGCAACCCAGTACGATTAAGATGATCTTTAGATCAGATTTCTTGTTCATCAACTAGCTTCGCCGTATTTGTGCTTTCTTTGAGTAGTTTGTGGTCTATTCTTCGTTCATGGGTTCTTCGTGCAACAAATGAATGCAAATGGAGAGAGGACGAGCAAACCCTAACTCATTTCTCTCTTTCTTTCAGATACAGAGAGATTCGAACGGGCCTTTTGTGAAGGAACAGACATTTGCTTGGAAGCTCCGTCGAAACGCCGCGTTTGACTGTTAGAATACCTAGAAATGTAGAAAGAGAGAGTCTAGAGATAGAGAGAGAGACTGGAGGGGTTCAGAACTTCACCGGGTTAGAGAGAGAGTCTCTGCACAGAGACAGAGAGAGGAGAGAGAAAATCGATAGGCGTAGAACTTCATCGAATATAAAGCGGGAAGTTCTATTGGGACAACCACGTGAACTTTATGAACCATTTCGAGTGATTAAAAAAATGAGACCATTTCGAGTGATTAAAAAAATGAGACCATTTTGAGCAATTAATATTTGTGCAACTTTTTTTTTAATGACAATTGTCCAACTCACCAACCCAAAAAATAACAATAATAATTTTCTGACTCAATTTGAGTCATGAATGCATGTTTAATCTTTTTTAATCTTACAATTTTTAAAATTAAAATATAATGTGAGCACACTACTTCTGAAAATAACTCCAAATATAATATTGATTTTTGATTTTAAATTATGATGGTGTCATTTTTATTTTAAAATAAAAAAGTAAGTGAAAATGTTAACACGGTCGTGAAATGTGAATATTATTAAGTGAAATTTAGTTTTGTTTTTGTTACAATATTATGTCGAGGTTATTTATTTTGTGTACGTAATTTTCGGAGTTGATTTCTAACAAATTATAAATGTATAAAACTTTAAATCGAGTTCTCTACATATATTTTAATGGAATGGAATGTAATCACATGAACTATAAAAGATCAAATGAGAATTATCCTAACTATAAAATCCAGGGCTTACATTATCTAGCTTCATTCATGGCGGTCAAGAATGGCTGTGGAAATCAATTTTAAATTATGCAAGATTTTGAGGATAACTTGAGTTCCTTTGGTTTTTTAATGGGTATTTATGCTATTTATGAGTAAACTATTAATGAATTTATTGAATTTGCCTCTCAGATATGTTTTAAGTGATATATACGAGTCCACTTAAAACATATATAAAGATAGATAAAAATTTCGTTAGTGTTTCTTTTGTTTGGTTATTAAAAAAATAGATGAAAGGGATGGATGACACATCCAATAACTATGGTTGAATGGATGGAAAAAGAGATGGAATTAATGGATAAGGCCTGAGGCGCCTAATGAATGGAAGGTGCTTCTGTCACTTTTTGTTAGTTGAATTGAAGGAATAGTAAAAATTATGAATGGGATGACACTTAATTTTTTTTATTCGGTTGATAGGACTGGAAAGATATTTTTTATATAATTTTTACCAATATACCATCATTATATAAAATTATATATTTATCTCAAATATTTAGGAAGGTCATTATATAAAATTATATGTTTATCTCAAATATTTTGGAAGGTTAAAAATAAGGAATGGAAAGATATTTTTTATATTATTTTTACCATTATATTCTCATTATATAAAATTATATGTTTATCTCAAATATTTAGAAAGATAAAAAATACAAATTATTTATTTGTGATAATTATCCATTAATTTGGGCGGATAGAAAACTACAAAGCTTCCCCACCCCCATCAAATACTTTTATCATCCTTCTCATCCATTCCTTCTTATGCTACGTTTGGTGTACAGAAATGTAATGGAATGGAATGCCCATTCCAACCATTCATTTGTTTGGTATGCTACTTAAAGTTAGAATGGTCATTCCATTTAAATGAAAATTAATTCCTAGAAATGAAAATCCATTTCACAACTAAACTTATGGAATGACTATTCCATTCCCAAGTAATTTATTTTAAAAAATCGACTTCTCAAAATACCTTCATATTCCAAGTCTAAAAACCGGTCACTATTACCTTCCACCACAATTATCTCCGCCTTTCACTACCACCACCACTACCACTGTCTTCTAACACCACTGACTTTCGCTATCGTCCACCACTTTCCACCACCGCCACCGCCTTTTACCACCGTTATCGCCACCGTTTGCCCAACCACCGCCACCGCCACCGCCTTTCACCACTGCTACCGCAACCACCTTCCACCACCACCACTGCCATTACCTTTCACGACCTTCCACCACCACCGCCACCATCGCCTATCACCACTGCCGCCACCACCACTGCTACCGCCTTTCACTACCATCACCACCTTCCACCACCGTCATGCCATAGCCCTACACCACCACCGCTGCCTTCCACCACCACCACTGCCACCGCCACCTTTCACCATCATCACCACTGCCGCTGCCTTCAACAACCACCAACGTCGCCGCCATCGCCTTCCACCACCACCATTACCTTCTACCACCTTCCATCACCACCACCTTCCACCACCGCCACCACCACCTTCCACCACCGCCACTACCACCTTTCACCATCGCTACCACCACCACTTTCCGCCACCACCTTTCGCCATCGCCCACCACCTTCTGCCACCACCTTCCACCACACTATTGCCACCGCCACCTTCCACTATCGCCTTCCATCACCACTATAGTTACACCACTATCTCCTTCCACTACAACCACCACACTATTGCCACCGCCTTCCACCAACACCACTGCCACCTTCCACCACCACTGCTACCACCAATTTCCACCATTGCCGCCACCACCGCCGCCTTCCAACAGCACCACCTACACTACTATTGCTTTCCACCGTCCACCATCTAGAATGGTTATTATCATTTCATTCCTACACATTTCATATTTACAACCAAACAATAGAATGAGAATGATCATTTCATTCTATTCCTGCATACCAAACGTAACATAATTTTTACCTCCAACCAAACATAAGCATTAAGTCAAACACGTCTATTAAATGACATTTTTCACATGTGAAACACCCAATGTTAAAAAATGTACTGCCCCACCTGTTACGACTAATCACCGTTTGACACACTAGACTAGACTAGTGAGATACCCAATGTCATAGCATTAGGTTTAACAAATCAGCTTAAATAACATTTTCCATACTTAAGACACCATAAGTCCATAAATGTAGTGGCCCCATGGCCCCCACCTACTATGACGGTGGCCCATCACTATTTGAAACACCGGATTAGTCACGTATTTCAATGTTGTAGCATTAAGTCAAAGACATCAACTTAAATAATATTTTTCGTACGGACATATTCAAAATATAGTGGCCCCTCACTATTTGAAACACCCGACTAATCACATACTCCAATGTCTCAAAGAAAAAAAATAAATAAATAATCAACCAAACATTTTATTTCCTTAAACATCTAAATGTAACCTAGTAAATGTCTCCGCAATGTAAGGGGTAAAAAAAAATGTCTTGCAATATAATCTGCAATGGCCAGTTTATGCCGGCTAGTAAATAAAAAAGAATGGAACAGCTAGAATCTTACCATACCCACTCTAATTAGAATGGTTTGACCAAATTCCCTTTTTGGCTAAACAGAAGAGAGCATGCGTGAATTGGCTTCATCTCAACTTTTGCCTAGTGTTAGATAATATCATTAATTGTGCCCTTGATATCATGATAAATTTCCATATACTGTACATAACTATTCAGAAATTTATTTTCTTGTTTCAATTTTTTGTTTGTTTTGACATATAATATTTTTTTTAAAAATATTTTTTTTTTCAAATAATATATATATATATATATTGTGTTTGGTAAATATTAAAGTCGAGATTGAGGTATTGGGTGGAAGTCTAAGTCATATAAAACGAGAGCAAATTCGAGAACGGGAGCATGAGAACAGCTAAATTAAATCATAAGTAGTGGGACGCTCGGAGCGTAAGAACAATATTTGTTAAGAATGATTATGTGACTTAAGATGGGACGTGTAAAATAAATTGTTTAAAATTGATGGGTAAATTATTTTTGTTTATTAATAAATATTTTACGGCAACTAAATACCAAAAAATTATAAAAAATATTTTAGATCTAAATAAACTGACCACTAAGCTGAAATATAAAAAAGTTAAGACCCTTTACTTTACAAATACGACCAACAAAAAGATTTCGTTAGACAAATCACTCAAAAAATTCAAGCTAATATTGGGATTCAAATTTTTTATGAATTCACTTAATTAAAAACTTGGTCTCTAACAATTCTTTCCACTACTTTCTAATATTTTTATGAATCAAATGTGGAATTTCAAAAAAGAAGTCAGTTTCTGGTTTTTATTTGGTAGCTAATCTTTGTTATATTTTGGTGAACTTACTGCTGGTGCTAGCCTGAGTGATCAAAGATTTCTGGTCAAGAGTTTATTTCTAACAAATTATAAATAAAAAAATGATAGTTCAGTTTTTGGTTTATTTGTTTAAATTTTTACTTAACTGGACTATTTAAGTAACCAGCACAACTTAAGCTTTATTTTTATGTTTTAATTATTTCAAACACACACTAAAAAATAATAGAGTAAATTGTACTCACATCATCCCCTGAAGTTTGGGTCTAACGACACTCAACGGGTCAACTCACTAGTTTACATTGACACACCTTAAGTTTTAAAAGCATATTTATCCCTAAAAACATATTTGACATTGTAATTGACACAAATAACCCTATAATCCTGGATGTGCAAGAAATTGCTCTCCCTATTAAAAAAGTATATTTTGTATGTTTTTGACACTTCAATCGAATCCTTTACCTTTCTTCTCTTCTTCTATTTACAAAGTCTATCCTTACCCTAAAAATCCTTTTATTCTTTCTAAACCTTCAAATAATATGAGCTTGATCTTCACTTGGGCCGATCTCTATATCACAACAGGCCTTAAATGAAAGTAGATAGGGGATGGAACCCTTTCTTATTGGCAGGCTGAAGTTGGGCCAGTGGGATTTTATGCCCCTTCAAATCCCCTCTAAACCACCGCCCCAGTCATCCCCTCTAAACCACCGCCACACCCACACACAAACAAACACCACCACAACCACCGCCTCCACAACCACAGCCACACACGCACACCGCCACAACCACCGCCAAGCCCACACACACACCACAACCACCGCCAAACCCACACAACCACTAAGAACTCTGTAATGGCAAACCGGACTCTGACCTCACACGCCACCACAACCACAGCCACACACACCACCAAGAAAACCATAGCACCAACGCCACTGCCATTGCCTCAACTGCACGCTGCCACAATACCCACTGCAGTCGTTGCCGCAATAAAACCCACCACTACAACCACCGCCACACAACACCCACTACAACCATCGCCGTACCCACACACATAACACCCACTGCAACCACCACCGCACCCACACACACACCACCCCAACTTCGCGGCAGAGCAATTGTCGAAGTCACCAACTCCAACCAAGCCAAGATCGCCGAATCCGCCGCTGCCACAACAGTCACCAACTACCATCGCTCGACGCCATCAATTACAAAGGCAACATCTTTTTCTCTTCGACGATGGTGGCAATCGAGACATCCTCGACGCGTTGAAGATTCAAATCGGGGTCCCAAAATAAACATATATATGTGTGTGTATATATATACATATATATCTTGCAAAAGATTCAGATCAGGGTCGATGGTGGCCGCGGAGGTGGTTGAGAAGGGAGATGATGACGGCGGTTGTGGTTGAGGAGATGGTGGCCGCGGATGTGGTTGAGGAGATAGAGCGGCGGGTGCAGAGAGAGAAGAGGTGGGGATCTGGGTTTGGGAATAGGGGACGAAGGAGATGGTGATTAATGGGTAAAGCGGGTTGAGGTAATTTTATAATTAAAAATGAATTGTTGACACTAATTAAAGGGTATTTAGGTGTTTTTAAGGTTGGGAAGGGGCGTGCATGTAAGATTTTGGTGTAAATGTAAATTAGTGTGAGTGATGTTGACCCTTGACCCAAATTTTAAGAAGTGTGAGTGTAATTTACTTAAAATAATAATAATAATAATAATAATAAAACTATGATGTGAAAACCTCACTTTTGAAAATAACTGTAGAGTATAATAGCTCTTTTAAATTATATAATGGTGTCATTTATATTTTAAAAGAAAAAAGTAAGTGAAGTGTTATACAAAAATCATAATAAAAAAATTCCTTCATTCTTATTCATTTTGTTGTATTTTTTTGGTATTATTATGTGCACAAGTTTCAAAGTCTCTTTTAAAAAATTCCCACTTCTTTCATTTTAAGAAAAAGAAACAAAATTATTTGATCAAACATGCAACATAATAAATTTTCTTACAAACACCGAAGTTATAATGTCACCAATATATATATTTTTAATTATTTTTATGAAGATTTGAACCATCCATCTTTTATTTTAAAAGATCATGGACTTGTTGTCAAACTCACACATGCTCTTCTGGCAAAAAAAAAATTATAGTAGGAGGAGGGAAGTTTATTACAAAACAGTGAAAGTGAGGGTGGGTTAAATGCATTTTACCCTTTTTTGGTTGGATGATAAAAGTTTGAATTTACGAAAATGAGGGAATAGTTTTTTGTTCGATGAAATGGTAAAAGTTAATATCTACAAAAAAATGAATGAAAGGGTACTTTCTAGTTTCTACATGCAAGTTTTTATTTGGTAAAAAAAGGATTGAACGGATACCTTTGACTTTAAAACTACATTATAATTTTAATATTTAAACCATTCAAAATTATCTCTAATAATTTATCATTAAGTTAATGTTAAAAAATAATATAAAATTCAATTAGTACATAACCTAATTGATAGAGCCCACTAGCTACCCAAGCAGTGTGCCTTTATTCAAGGCCTCAAGGAAAAATATATATATATATATGCATCTCTCTAGTACCCAGCTACTTTTAGCGGGAAATAAACGACACTTGGCATCCAGTTAACGGTCACTGGTGTAATAATATGGAAACCAAAGGGTATAGGTATTATTGGAGCTCTAAATATATATTCTCCTGAAATATTGAAGAAGCTACAACTGTGAAACGAGTGAATGTGACACATTTGGCATAGCTCTAAATATACTTGTACTTTATCTCTTTGTTGGGTTTTTCATTATGTTTAGATCAAATCAACATTCTTTTCACGGTTATCGAGTTTTAGAGCTCCAATTCGCAGGTAATGTTCAATTTCTGTTACTTTATGCCATCGGGCTACATTTTTACATCTGTTTGTTTGCTGAGAAAATAAAATAAGAAAACAACATATATAATCTTAATTGTTCTATATTGTTTTGGTTCTAGACAAACCTCTCTAGAGTAATTCAAAAATGGTTTATGTTTTCTTGCTTATTTTCTGAGGAACCAAACGGAACATTAGGTTTGATGTGCTTGAATTTTTGAATGAATGTTCTATATTGTTCTTGTACACTATTGGATTTTGCATGCTTTATTGGATGGTGTTAATATTTACCTCATAAGAGAGGGGTAATTAAATTTCTCATCATTTTATATATGCAAGTGCAATGATTTCATCTTCTACGGAAAAAGTTACAACAGATTAATGTATAGTGGTTCGTTTTAATGTGATAGTCAAACTGAATGAAAATGGGTAAATCAGTTTTCCAAAATGTGAACATAGACATTGTATGTGAATTTGACATGTTGTAACTAGAAACCCTGCTTGTCATTTTGTCATTCACTTGGTGATCAAATGTGTTTTCATCTGACGGCTATTTCGGGGTGCCAAGTTGTCAAAAACCATAACGTGTGTGTACATATATACATGTATTATGTATTTATATATATTTAGGACTAATATTTTAGCTCCTAGAAGAAACCTAAACAGATCTCACATGATTTTTTCTGTTATTTTACTATATATATGGTTTGCATGCTATTCTTGCTTGTATAAATGAATTAGCTATGATGGATTGCAATTCTTGCTAGCTTTTTTTCTTCTTCTAATTAATGAAATGTTGTTCTCTTGCCTAGGAAAACAAATTAATTTATGACTCTGCAGCTTGATTTGATGCGTGAAATCATAATTCTTCTACTCTAGACCTTAAATTTTCATTTAAAGTTTGTGCACGGCCTCGTCACTGCAAATAGGACTTAATTGGTCTTTACAGTATTATGAGTAGTTACATCTACATGTTTGCGAACCAAGATATCCATGAAAGAACATTCAGAAACTAAAATAGGGTGAAGGTAATAACCCATATAGGCTGGAGATAAAGTAACTGGTGGGTGAGCTATCAGCTGTTTCGATTTTAAATGATGAAAATTTGGTATCTGGTTTCTGGTTATAGTCTTGTTTATATTGCCTTTCTTCATTTGATCAAGTTGCTTTTACATTTGAAATATAAGCTATTATTAGTTTAATATGTTTCGGACATATTTACTTGATTGACATTGGAAACTTTTGTGCTACAATGACATAATTTGGAACATTGTTCTACAAATTCTGAAAGATTTTAGACAAGTGAGAGATTCGAAATCACAATGACTAGTCTTTGTGCTTCTGTCCAACCTATGATTTGTTATAAATGTGATTTTTTTTTTTTTTTTTTTTTTTTTTGTTCTCCTTCAATTCCCACTTCTTAATTTTTAGTCAAGCATATTTGTGCAGATATTCCTGGATGCAGTGATTGTATTAAGATATTTTAATGTTGCAGCTGTGACGGTCTTCTCTTTTCCTGTGGTGGTAGCTTTGATATTGTAAAGTTACCATATATTGTTCTTCAATGTGTTTATATTCAGTACATTGTTGTTACATTTCAATTTCAAACTAAAATTAGTATATTACACTTTTCAGATCTTGAGTTTGTTGTGCTTTGGATCAATGGAGAGAGTCTTGTCTATTTTTCTTGATGCCTGCTTTTGAGGAAAAATGTCGAAGATGACATGAATAGCTGGGAGGAGTCAATAGGGTCTTTCAGGATTCGTATCGATCCTGAGAAAGATGAAGAACTGGAAGATACTAAAATACCTACACCAAAACATCCTCAATCCTTACAAAACTATTGGAGGTTGTGGAATAGCACTAGAAAACCCAAAGGAACGCAATATGAAGCTCTACTATCAGCCCAATGTCACCTGGAAGGTGGCTTTTCATGGTTCGGGGGACAGGAACGGCTGCGCAGTTCGTTGCTCATTCCTGATCTCGGTACGGTGGGATAGCCTTGCATGACTTAAAACCCTTATATTATTATTATTTTTAATTTGGCATGACTCGGTAACCTTATATAAATTGCCCAAGTTTTTAAAGCTAGAATGTGCTAATAGACCTGTAAATAGAATTTTCTTTCTATTTAATAGAAATGATAAATGAAACATTATTTTAAAGTAGGAAAACGTACGAATATATATATATATGTATATATATTTCATTTCAGAAGCATGTTTGATTTGAATGAACTAAGCAAGGCCACATTACTCCTTAAATCCTATTTACATCTGTCTCATAGCAAGTTGTGGTTGTGCCCTCTTAACTTGTTATTATGATATTACTTGCGAAAAGTTAAGAAATAAAAAGGACTGATGGAGTTGCAAAAAGCTGAAAAATAACATGTTCCGTTTAGCTCACAAACTAACAACAACAACAATGGAGTACTCAAGTTTGTTGTTCTTGGTACCTCATAATCTAATGTGAAATTTCTCTCTCCTTGTTCAGTTACTTTACCTAGGCATCGATCATTTGCTTGAATTTGTCAAGTTTTCATTACTAGTGTGAGGTTTGAGCATTTGACATGTTTCTCGGTTATACCCTAGTTCTCAAGATGACTAGTATGAGGTTTGAGCATTTAGCATGCTTCTTTCGTGACATTCTAGTTCTTAAGCTATTCATCCTTATCACATTGTTTGGTTTTGAAGTATAAAATTCAGGTGTTACATGTTTGATGTCAATTTGCAGAGATCGACAACAAAGTGACGAAAATCATGAAGCTTGCAAAGAACGAGAACGAAAACGAGAAAGATGGGACTAGAATGAAAAACTCAGAAATTGCTGAATTTATTCAGGATTTCCATAGAAAGTACCAATCACTTTATGCACTTTACGATAATCTCAGAGGAAAGGTAAGGGAAGAAGTTGATGGCAGAGAAGAAAAAAAGGAAGGCTATTCTTGTTCGACATCCAGCTCAGACTCGGAATCACAATATTCCCTTGATGAAATAGGTGGTAAAACCAGTGAATCAAGGAGTGAGCTTCAGAAGGTGATAGATGACCTAAAGCAGAAACTAGAAACTTCAAATTTAGAAGTCACTAACCTGAGGAATAAATTGATCTCAATGGGTGAAGAAAATGAAGCTTTAACTTTGGAATGCATGGCATCTTTGATTAATATACCCGAATTGGAGAAAATCATTAATGATCTAAGGATTGAAGCCGAGCATACAGAGAACACAAAACAAAAACTTGTGGATGAATCTAGCCAATCAAAGAAGAAATTGGAAGAAAGGGAGAAGGAATTATCGTACTTCACCAAGTCACATCAGGTTCATGAGAGTGAAGCAGCAGCTCGGATAAAGGATTTGGAGAGCCAGGTAACCTGTTTGAAACTTGAGCTGGAGAACCAGAAGAAAGAACTTGAAAAGCAAGTTCAACATAAAGCAACCGAAGCTAAACAGGCAAGAGATCAAAATTTAGTACTAGAATCCCGTATTTTAGATCTGGAAACAGCATCCAAAGAAAAAGAAGATGTATTTTTTGCTCTTCATAAGAAATTTGAGGAAAATGAGAACTCTCTAATGTCTAAAATTGAAAACTTGATGGCACATTCCAACAATCTGCAAATGGAGGTGGATACTCCACAAATTCAGAAAGCCGAGTTTGAAGATGTGTGTAAAAGCAACGAAGCATCGGCCCAAGTCAAGGACATAACGGATCAGCTCAATGTTTTGCAAGAGGAACCGAAGTCCGTTAGCAGGCAGAAAAGTGAATCAGAATCTAACCTTGAGAAACAAACTCAAGAAATATCACTTTTCCTTGTTCAAATAGAACATTTGACAGAGAAGCTAGCAAGCACAACTCTGAATGAGCAGAGAATGCTAGAAGATAAAGAGGGTTTAAAGGTGGACTCTCTTAGCAGCCAGAAAAGCGAAGAAATGGCGGAAGAGTTTTGCAAGAAATTCGAAGATCATCTTCGTCCCTTAAGCCGGAGGATTCGAGTGGCAGAACACTTACTCATCGAGAACAAAGATTGCTTCAGGAAGATAAAAGAGAGGTTTGAACAAGAACACGTGGAGCTCGAAGAAAGGGCTGCAACTAATGAAGTAGCAATTATGAAGGGCAAGGATAGTACACTGACAGCGAACGACATGCTGACAAGACTGGACTCTATGGTCCAAAGATTCGAGCACTGCAGTGCAAACTTCCTAAATCAAATTTCCAAAGTTTCTTGCGAAGTGAAGTTTGCAAAGGACTGGATGAGGAGGAAAACTAATGCTATAAAACATGTAAAGGAAGACGCGGATTGTCTGCTGGCGCAAATGGATGCTAAGGAAGCAGAGTTATTTGGATTCGGAGCGCGAGTACGGAAGTTAGAGAACAAGGTGAGAGAATTGGAGAATATGGTAAAAGAGAAGGAGGAAGGTATGTTGAGCGTGGGAGAGGAAAAGAGGGAGGCAATAAGGCAGTTATGTTTGTGGATTGATTATTACCGCAGTCACTCTGATTTTCTCAAGAAATTGCTCTTTGAGATGAGTACTGTTAGAACCCAAAGAAAACCTTAGGACATTCTGTACATTCTTCTTCCTATTTGTGTTTTCCAATCTCTGCTCACTGGATTAGCCAGACCCAAGTAGTTTGGTAAAAAAGGCTTTGTTCGTCGTCGTCGTTGTAACATATGAAGTCACATTAAATTAAGATGCAGTTTTAATTTCCTTTATGTGCAAAGTTTTTCTGCATTCTTGTTCTGTCGTGTGGTTCCTTGAGCTTTACTTCTTTAGGTAGGCATGATTAATGAATTTGCACGCTCGCTATGTAGATACTGTCAGTTTTGCACACGGTCTAAAAAAATGCATAGTTAAAAGGCATCGTGCAACTTCTCCCCCTTCCCAAGTTCAAACTTCCACTTCTTGCTCTCGTGTGGCTTTTCCACCAGATTCTCTGAAATGTAATGTAATAAGATAGAAATATCTATGATTAGAATGCTACCTGGATTAGTAAGCACTGATTTTTGTTCAACAAAGAGTCAAACCTGGAAGCTAGTGCATTAGAAAATTTTAGATACTTATTTTAAGCAATGCTTGCATCCCCAAAATTGAATGTTCCAATTATTTTTTTATTTATTTGTTCTGTTTCTTCGAAGACTGTCTACTATCATACTTGTTACTGGACGGCCAACTAATTCTCCCAAATGAATGGATTCGAACAAAAAATTCTTTTTTACAACCACGAAAAAGGGGCTTTTCAGATATAGCATCTAGTTGAATTATGGGAATGTGATAATCTGATAATCTCTTTCATGAATTAGTTCGTGAAGTGTAAGAAAGTGAGTTATATGTATTGCGAAATTAAACAGAAAGTACAAGAAAGAGAAAGAGATCAAAACACATATGCAATAAGAATACACAGATTTTACTTAATTCATTTAAAATACAGAAAATACAAAGAGAAAAAGATCAAAACACATATATAATAAGAATATACAGATTTTTCTTGGTTTATCCAAAATTCAGGGCTACATCTAATGAGTTGTATGAATTTCACTTTGATGATAAAAAATAGTTGAGGATACAGAGAGTTCAGAATGAATAAATACCCTTGCACTAGGGCAACCTAACAAGTGCTAAAATTGCCAAAATACCCTCAAAAAAATTTGCAATTATTATTATTATAATTTAGTTGTCCCCTTTTTTTTTTTTTTTTTTTTTTCCTATGTTACACTTTTGTTGCATTTGGTATGCATGAATGAAATGGAATGCAAATACAGAAATTGAATGGAATGCAAGTGGGAATGAAATGAGAATTGGAATAGAATGAAATGGTCATTCTTATTCTATTGTTATGTTACAAATATGAAATGTGTAGAAATGGAATGGTTTTACCATTCCACTGTTTGGTTGGACAAATTTAAAATTTAGAACGGAACGACTTTACAATTTAATTTTATAAAATACCTCTCTTAATGAAAAATAAATTACATTAATAAAATAAACATTATTCTATAATTATTTTAAAAGAAATGGCGGTGATGGTGGTGGAGGTGGAAAGCGATAGTGGTGTAGGTGGTGGTGGCGGTGAACGGTGGCAGTGGTGTTGGTGGAAGGCGGTGGCAGTGGCGGTGGAAGAAGTAGTGGTGATAGTAGTGGAAGACGTCAATGGTGTAGGTTATGATGGTGGGAGGTGGTGGTGGTGGAAAATAGTAAAGGTGGTAGAAGGCAGCGGAGGTGGCGGTGGAAGGCAATGGAGGTGGAAGGTGATGGCGATAATGGAAGTTCGGTAGCGGTAGTGATCGTGGCGGTGGTAGTGGTGCTGGTGGTAGAAATTGAGCTGGCGATAGTGGTCGAGGGCAGTGAAGGTGGTGGTGGTTATGGAAGGCGATGGTGGAAGTCGGTGTCGGTGGTGGTGATGGAAATAGCAGTGAAGATGGCGGAAGTGGTCGAGGACAGTGGAGGTAGCAGGGGTGGTGGAAGGCAATTGAGGTAGTGGTAGTAGTGGAAAACGATGACGATGGTGGACGTCGGTGGCGGTGGTGGAGGCAATGGAGCTGGCAATTGTGGTGGAGGTTAGGGTGGTGATGGCAATGGAAGTGGCGGTGATGGTGGTAGTGGCAGTAGTGGAATGCGGTGGTGGTGAAGGTAATGGTGGCAATGACAATAGAAGAAAGCAATGGAGGTGGTAGTGGTGGAAGGCAGTGGCAGTGTTTGAAGGCAGCAACAATGGTGGCGGTGGTGAAAAACAATGGAGGTGGCAATGGTGAAAGGCGGCGATGGTTGTGGTATAAGGTGGTGGTGGTGGTGGTGGAAGGCAGTGGTAGTGGGGATAGTTTTTGAACTTGGAACATGAGGGTTTTTTGGGAATTTGATTTTCTTAAAAAATTTATTTGGGAATGAAACGGCCATTCCATACGTTTAGTTGTGGATTGAATTTTCATTCCCAATTGTGAATTTTCATTCCAATGGAATGACCATTCTCACTTTAAATTATATACCAAATAAAAGAATACTTGGAATGAGCATTTCATTCCATTCCATTCATGGACACCAAACATAGTTTAAAGAAATTGATTCAGAGTTGTTTATTTTTCTTTAATTTTTGTTTTATAACTAGATAACATAATCTTTTTTGTTGGAGAGAAAATTTTCCCCCCATTTTGGAGATGTAACACAGCTTGGTTAGATGTAGACGATGAGATTTTGATTCGATTTCGACTTGATAGTTAGGATATGAAGTGGAATATTCAATCCTATATCCTAATCCAATATTCAGTTAGTTAAACAAATTGATTTTAAATTATGGTCAACCCAGAACTGAATTATTGATGTCGCATTTAAGGACACTTTGACAACTAACTTGGTCGGAAAAATCAAAAGACACGTTACCTTTTTTTATAACTATGTAATTTTGAGAGTTATACAATTAAGGTATCAACTAACAATCACAACAACTAATCAAACTCACCTCTTAACACAAGTATGTGATGACGTATAAACTACCAATCACAACAACTAATCAAACTCACCCCTTAACACATACTTGTGTCAAAAAAAAAAAAAAAAAAAAAAAAAAAAAAAAAAAAGAAAAAATCTTATCTTCAGCAATTCATGGCATGAGATTACCAGACTCATGCCCGTCTCGAATTACTCAATGTGCCTATAGAAAATGCGAGCACCTTCATGCTACCATTTATGAACCTCGTCTTTGATCACACACCCATGCCTCTATATATAGAGAGAGTGTGTGTGTGTTACGGATTTTTGGGGAAGAAATGGTTGGGCACAATGATGAGGAAGATAGATGAAACAGATCTTGGGGATTTTTGAGAAATTAAACTAGGAGGTGTATGAATGTCCTAGTTAGGAGAAGGGCATTAATTAAAGTCTTTTCATATTTATAAGAGTGCTATGGTCATTTAGTGTAACCTTTGTGTCATTTGACAATCACGTGCTTTAATAACGGTCATACTTGTACAAAAGCTTGCCGGATGGGCATTTGTAACAAAATCGATAGTTCTTGAGGTTCTATTTTGCAGTTCAATTTTATTTGTTTATTTATTTTTATAAATTTATCATTAATTTAGGGAGTTTCTTGCATTTTATCCAAAATAATATTTAGATATTATTAAAATGTTTTCTATCATTCTTCTTCCTCTTCCCATTCTCTATTTTGTCTCTCTTCATTGTTTTTTCTTTAATAAAAATTTAAAAACCTACTTTTCTACTATATTTTATTTATTTTTCTACAGATTCTCTCTCTTCTTAGTCATTGTCTGGTAATCTCTTTTGTCATTAAATTTTTTGAACAAAAGGTTATATTCTTTTTGGATTGGATTCATCGGATTAGATATTTGATTAACAAAAAATTATTTATGAATTTAATAAAATATCTATTTGGATCGAATTAAACCTAATCTCATTCAAATATGATCCGTTTACAAACCTAATTAGATGTATCATGACTAACTCGTACGTATAAATGAAAGCAACAAAATTTGAATTCTGTCACTATTTGTTTTGTGACTTTTGTCCCTTGGTTTTTGCTATTTCTCCCTCTTGAATAATATTTTACAAGTGTTTAGACATTTCATTGTTCTATCGACAGCCTTATGATAAATTTTTACATTGAAAAAATGAATGAATTTGTTTATCTCTCAACTTTTTAGTTTTGATTACGCGTTAAATTGACATCCTTATTTGAATTATTTAGTTTTAATTATTGATCGTATATCAGAAGCAGGCGGCAACTTGAATAAAATGAAAATAGAAAAAATTGAAAAAAATAAAATAGACGCAAATTGTTCAACTCACTGTTTTGGATAATATTTTATAATATTATTTGCAAAATGGATATTATGCGAGGGTATTGAGATTAAAATGGGAAGAGAGACAGATGGGGTTGTATTTGACAATTTTTAGTGGACCTCCAAAAAAAACAGGATGGACTGAAGTCGAGGCTGGGGTAACAAATTAAAATTGTATTTCAGAATTGTTATTTATAAGGTTGTATTTCCAAAATTTTGCAAAATTTGAAGGGGTTTTCTAATATTAAATTTATTTTAAATTTGGAAAATACACATAGAGGTAAAAATGAGAGAAGCAGAAACAATTTCTTGAAGGATAAAACACCTAAATTAAACAAATCCTTTTGTTTAATTCTAAATATATAATAAATAAAATAATTATTTTTTTTATATTTTATTGTTTTTGGAGAGGGGTAAAGTGAAAAAAAAACTTATTGTATAAAAAATATGCAAAAAACACTCCTATTTAGTATTTACATATAAATTCCTAATATATGTAAATAGTCTAATTCTAAATATATAATAAATAAAATAATTATTTTTTTATATTTTATTGATTTTGAAGAGGGGTAAAGTGAAAAAAAAAACCTTATTGTATAAAAAATATGCAAAAAACACTCCTATTTAGTATTTACATATAAATTCCTAATATATGTAAATAGTCTATTTTTATCAAATTTTTAATTATAAAAACTCCAAAATGCCATTATTATAACATTATTATCATTGTATAAAAAATATGACTATTTAGTGTTTTTTATTTTTAAGTATTTAGTTATAACATTATTATTATTAGTGTTTAAATTTTGGACAAATATCACCCATAAGATTTTTTTAAGACATATAAGTGTGTTAAATTTCAAAAAATAATCAAAGGGCTTGAAATCACTGTTTGGTAACAAATTTAGTTACGTGAATCGCACATGACCCTTGTAACATATAAAATTTCAAAAATACCATTTTATTTTCCGATCATGGTTCGCTGTATATCGGCCGTAACCTTTTTTCAAAGGTTCGATACCGTTATATTTTTTCAAAGGTTCGATACCGTTACATATTTTATGAGTTGGCCGATTTACACCGATATTGGCCGAATCTGTCACACCGCAATCACAACTAATATCACGACTGCCAACCATGCTTCTAATAATGTTATATAAGAATATGAAAAAAGAAAAAGAAAAAAGAAGATGAACACTTTAGTCACTTCACTTTTAATTATTAATTTTTTATATCTTTTTTTCATTCAATTATAGAAAAACACTTTAATCTTTTCACCAGTCTGTCCTCAAAATTAAATGTTAATTTTTTTTGAGAACCTTATATATATATATATATTTCAAAAACCTTACATGCTTATCCAGATAGTGTTTTTGCCTCACCACCCTTCTTATTATTATTAGTTTTTCAAATACAAATATGAAATCCACGTGATAGAACACGCTTATTGACAACGGTCAAACTGTGATGGCGCGTAGACCTGTTCATATTTATATTTATAAAATATATATTTAAGTAATACGTATAATTTATTACACGTGGTTTATTTCCACCGCCTATAAACGCGTATTGTATACGCCAATATTATATAGGGAAATTTGTCACCGTTAGATTAAAATTAACCGCTTAATCCTAGCCCTTGAAAACCACCACCGCTCTCTATAAATTCATTCGCAAAGTCAAATTGCCAATAGCGACTCGTTTAGGTCTTGGGTTTCTGGTCGAATCGATCCTGATTTGTGAGTTCTTACAATGAGTTCTTATAGGGATATTAGGGTTATTTGTTTTGGTAGAAAATATTTTGCAGCTTTTACGATTGCATAGTTATATCAAAGTTTTGATGCCATATTTCTTGGAATTCTGTTGTGGTGTATGTGTTGTTGAGCAAGACAAAGATTTTAGGTGTTTTTCTCCTTACTTCTTCGCTGGTTTGAAACTTTTTTGTTGAATTAAATTTTATTTATTATAATTACAAATTATGAGGGAAAATTTTGTTCTTTCCATATAAACGATTTGATCTTTATCCATTATTTTTCGGTAAAAACTGTTTTTCTTTTATTTGGAAGAAAATAATATGCCATATTTAAATATGGAATTCTGTTGTGGTGAATTGTTTATTGGTGATTGGGTGGTTTTTACTTTTTATGTTGATTATGATGACTGAGCAATACAAAGATTTTCTGTGTTTTTCTCATATGGTTGTTCTTTGCTGGTTTGGAACTTTTTGTTGAATTAAATATATATATATATTTTTCTTCATATAAAATGGTTTGATCTTTAAAATTTTCAAGGTATAATTATCCATACAATTAGGGATTCATTGGGATTCTCAAATTGGGAAGATAGTTATTTTTGATGGTTCTTTGCTGGTTTGGAATTTTTGTTGAATTAAATATATGTTTTTTTTTTTTTTTCTTCATATAAAATGGTTTGATCTTTAAAATTTTCAAGGTATAATTATCCATACAATTAGGGATTCATTGGGATTTTCAAATTGGGAAGGTAGTTATTTTGGATGATCTCAAATTGGGAAGATAGTTAGGGATTTATTGGGATTCTTAAATTGGGAGGATAGTTATTTTTGAAGATAGTTGAGCACACACACAGACACATACAACAACAACACACACAAAATACAATGCATGCAAATACCTAGGAGGCACACTATTTTTATCAAATGATTATGTCTTTAATCTTACACCAAGTCACCTTTTTTAAATCCTTCGTTCCTAGGTTTTCGTAGGTTGTGCGTTACTGATTAAATTACCTATACTTATCTACAAATAAGTTGACTGGACGAAAGTCCATCAGTCTATGTATTCGGAAATAATCAATAAAAGCACAATATTAACACCCAATTTGATATCAAACATCTAATCCTTGTTGCTGGCATCAAACCCTTTATACTTCTTACTGTTTCCATCCATCTTCTCCCTACACCGCCCACCAAATCCACAAAAATTAAAAGAGTTTTCTGAAGTTGCGATAGAATTTCAGAGCTGATATTCATCTTAGATTCTTGAGAGTTGATGAGTATGACGGTCCTCAGGTTGGTAATTGGTTGTGTAGCCATACCACTGTGTAGGCGACGTCAGTAGATCTCTGTGGAGGACTATGTACTTGAAGATGTGATCATGTGGTTGATTTCTCTGTCTAGGACTATGTACTTGAAGATGTGGTTGATTTCTCTGTTGAGGACTATGTACTTGAAGGTGGTTGATTTCTTCTTGAGCACGGTATTGTGAGGACAGTCGCAAGATCACTGTGGTAGGCTGTTTGTCTTCTTCAGTTCTCTAGTGTGCTTTTCATTTTTTATTTACCCTTTCTTCAAATTAGGTATGAAAACAATCACCTGTTAAAATATTGTTCCATGTCATGTGCACCATTACATGGTATTCTTGGTACTCAATCCCTAGTATTTGCAAACTAAAAAGACTAGAATGATTGGATCTTTGGAAGCTCCCCAAACAAAATGGAAGAAACATTATATGTAAGATTTTGCAAAGTACAAGTAGGCTACCAATTCCACTGCACTCAATCCGGCGAGAAGCCAATAGAAGTAATCAAGACGTGCTCGATTCAAGTTATCTGAAAACCAACCATCTTGACCATATCCACTGGTAGCTTTCTGGATGACAGAGATAAGAAAGCTGCTCAGGAAGCTCCCTATGCCAATGACTCTAAAGTAGAGAGCAAGACCAACACTCCTCAAATCATTCGGTACCTGATCATAGAAAAATTCTTGCAGACCAACCCCAATTCCAAACAACGGATATTGAGATGTGCTCGATTCAAGTTATCTGAAAACCAACCATCTTGACCATTTCTACAGTTAGCTTTTGGATGACAGAGATTAGAAAGCTGCTCAGGAAGCTCCCTATGCCGATGACTCTAAAGTAGAGAGCAAGACCAACACTCAAATCATTCGGCACCTGATCATAGAAAAATTCTTGCAGACCAACCCCAATTCCAAACAACGAATATTAGGGTGCCAACCACCTGGTAACTGCAGGAAACAACCAGAAAATGCGATTTTAATAGACAAGGGCAATAAAAAAGTATAAACACCAATCATGAATTGTCAACATTGATTCTGTTTCTTCAAATAAGCAAGAATTCCATCCGCATCCCGAGATCCTTTGTGATTTAGAATCCTCTTCCCTCCATTTCGCAAGATCTTAATTTGGATTAAATTACCAATTATTCTCTGCAAGAAAGTTGACTGTATTAACTCCATTTCTTAAAATTTGTTTCAAGAATAGTACATGGAACATATTTCGACCTTGTTTTCTATTTTTCATAACTCCTAGAATAATAAACTATTTTAAAAGCTGCAGCAAATAGGCGCATCTAAAGTCAGCTATTGAATTTAACTCCATGACTAACATCACAGTAACTTTTCCTTCACCTAGTCTTCTACTTCTAGTTATTTGGTGTAAGTTTGTCTCCAAAGAGAGACATCAAGAACATTGGCTATATGAGAAAAACTTCCTAATTCTGTAAATTTATGAACGTATGTTTATCAAATATTTTTCATTGATGGACTCCCCCCCGGCCCCCATCCTCCTCCCACAAAACACACATGCACGCAGTTGCTTGCAGGCACGCACAAAGTACAATGCACAAAAATACATTGGAGGCACTCAAATCCCATCATTGATTAATTGTCTTTAATCTTACATCAAGTCAGTATGAAGAACTTAACTCCTCAATAATTGTCTTTTTGGCATCACTTCTTTTTTCATTGGTCTTTTTAGGCTCTGAACTAAAATCCTTCATTGTTACCTCTTGTACTCCTGATTCTGTTGAAGTTGTCATATTTCACTTCACTTCTTCTGAGATCAAGTTGGTGTTCCCTAAATTAACCTGCCACTGTAATTAATGAAATATGATTTTTATCGATGATTTCATTAAATTTTTATCCCGTTCGAGTGCTGAAGTGTCTTTTTTCCTATTTGGTTATCATTACAGTTTTCATTTATTTAATTAAGTCGATTTTAGGAACTTCATGCAACAATGTTGTGTATTTGATAGCAATTCTTAATTTCTGATGAACTTTGATAAGCTTGAGGACATAATTACTGTTTGGTTTTAAATATAGTTATTGCTGAATCATTTGATTACTCTATATCAGGAGTGTCTCTTCAGCTAGACATGAAGACATTTCTGAGTTACAAAATCTATGGATTTTCTGCTTTGTAGGTTTTCATTCGAAGTCCTTGCTGTGGTACAGAACTTAGGAATGGTTGTGCTTTGAAGGGTTTCTTGCAAATTCTTTCTTTCTTTCTTTCTATTTTTTTCCCTTCACTTACACTTCTCTTTCATAAGGGCATCTTATGTTTTGTATTATCTTCCTTACCAATAATTTTTATATTTGTTACTAACAAATTTAGGTGAACTTGATTTTGGATGGGCATATGGTCATTGCATTGTTGAACAAAACCTCCTTTTTGTTTTGTGGTTTCTTGGTCGTGGACTTGTTGCTTGTGCGTTGCCTTGTATTGTTTGCAAGAATGGAGCATATTAGTATAATTTTTCCCCCTCATTTGTGGAATTTCTTGACTTTCTACTTCTGGGTGGTTTGCAGTCCTCCAGACGGTGATACACTATTTTGAGAGCTACTTAAGTTTTACAAAATTTGAGGGTTCAAACTCAGGAATCAGTTCCTGTATAATAGCAGTGATGTGATTTTATGTAGGATCTCATTAAGGACTTCAGTAAATGACAAAGCGCAGTTGGGTCCTTGTGGCAGGGCAGCATTTGATTAGTCTTGGTATGTGATTATTTATGTTTGGAAAGTTGTGTAACAGTATCTTTGGTATTATTTCCCCATCTTCCCATTTTTTAAATCTTCCTTCATCTACATTTCTCTTTTGTGCCCTTTGCTGTGAAATTCATGCATCCTTTTTACTTGAAATATTAGGTGAGGATGGGAACCCCTTTTCTATTTGGGTTATTCTACTAGTTCAGATATAGTGGAGGGGTGCATTAAATCCTCGTTTGTCTATTAGTTCTCAGTTATTCTCTTCAGTGCAGGACACAGCAGTTTGGTAGCTCACAAGGCTCATAACCTTGAGGTCACGGTGTAAAATCCTGTCTAGGCAAAATTCTTTTTATTCTTGCTTTTTGTTTTTTCGCCAGTGTGACTGAGTTCCTTTTGCTGGTTGGTCGTTACTTTTTTGCTTGTTTGCAGTCTATTACTTGAAGACGGATTTGGTGAAAGTTAAGAGCCTGTTAAATAGCTGGACTTATTACTTGTGTTGTTGGACTGTATCCTGCTAGTTTAGAATAAAAGAGAGAATCTAATTTGGAGTTTTAGTTTTTTGTTCTATCTTCTTGATTTTTCCTTGAACTCTCTTTTTGGTGTTTACATACGCTTGTTATTTTGCTTGTTTGTAGTCGCTTTTCTTTGACCTGACCTTAAGGTGGATTTCAAGTAAGGTATTTTGGAAGAGTAAGAGAATCTCTACCTGGTTATACTGCAGGAAATGATCAATCTTTTGCTCTTTAATTGTTATAAGCATGATGAGAATGATATATAGCTGTTGTTGTTATAGAACCTTCAGCTTGATAGTTTGTGTTAGGATTTTGAGTGATTGGCATATTTTACCCAAAACCTGAGTTGTATTGTGTCAAAAGTGCCTAGAGTTGTTCGTGAACATCTAATTTTTTTTTTTTTAATATAGCTATTGCTGTTGCTTGTCACTTCATCTTGTAGGGGTTCCATGACAATTCTGGATGGTTCAATAATTCTATACGCTGTTAGTAACGATGCATTAGGTTTTAACTGTCAACTTTGAGCTCTGTTAGCGTGTGGGTTTAACTAAAGATGCTGTTCAGGAATGCAGTGCTGCTCCTTCGATGAGACTGATTGGACATCAGTTGATTCTTTCTGATACGTAGAGTTCCCTCTGCTTTTGATTGGTGAGATGCAGGAGCAACCTGTTGCAGCAACTGTTTACTTGTTACCTCTGGCTTAAATTTGTGCTATTTTGGGAAAAACTTTGTTGAGTTGGGCAGTGTGAGTTTTTTTTTTTTTGTTTGTCTCAATCAGATCAGCTTTTTCGTCGTCCGTGTTTTGAGATTCTCTTATATTGCATTTCATTTTCAGCTTTATGTTCATTTGTGGTTTTACGTTACTGCAGAAGCATATATATAATGAATCGTTTCTAATTTGGTACTTTCTTTTCTGTCTTTGTGCTTCTGTTAGATTGTAACGATACAGGATGTAGGAACACATCAGAGAGGTTTAGTTTTTGACTCCTCCTCCACCTACAAGCTATATGTTCTTTCCTTTCCATCTTCTTTCTAAACAAAATTATTCAGTGTTGATGGATGTATGCAAAACCTTGGTATCTTGTGTTTTTATATTACCTACCATACACTTCACTTCCATTTCTTTTTTCTTTTTTTTTGTATTATCTTCCTTGCCGATGATTTTTGTATCTGCTACTAGCAAATTTAGGGTATCATATATTTACGTTTTAGCATGTGTGAATGAGTTTCTTTTGCTGGTTGCTTGTTTGCAGTCACTTGAAGATGGACTTCGTGAAAGTTAAAGAACCTTTTGCGTGGCTGGACTTCTTACTTTTTATTGGACTGTACATCTGTGATTAGTTGAAAACAGGAGAGAGTATCTAGTTCTCTGTTTTTATTTTTATTTCTTGGATTTTGCGGGACCTCTTTTTTTGGTGTTTACAGACACTTGTTATTTTGCTTGTATGTAGTTGATTTTGAGAGCAGTCTTTTGGAAGGGCTAAAGAGGAGAACCTTTACCTGGTTAGACTGCAGGAAATGATCAATGTTTCTGTAAGTTTGTATTCGGATATTTAGTCATTGGCATATCTTACCCAAAACCTGAGTTGTAATGTATCAAAGTGCCTTGAGCTGTTTATGGACATTTTTTGAAGACATGGCAGACAAAAAATGAGATGATCATGTGGAATATTTGCATCCTCAATTGCACAAATAGGTATCAGGTAAATGGACTTTAGTAAATACCTTAGTTTGACCTTGATTTTGGAAATTATTCTTTGATCGATCCAGAGAGCTTTGATAGAATGATCAACCGATTGAATTGGTTTCAGGTAACATTTAGTTCAAAGTCAGAATGTATCGATTGCATGGTCGATAGATTGAATTCTGTGTAGAGTTCCAGTGGTCTTAGATCAACCGAACTTGTTGGACCTATGTATTCGGTACCTATATGATAGTAGTGGTGTGTTTTTTTGTTGGATTTCAATGAAGATCAGTATGGTTTGGGAAATTTCAAAGTGCAGTTGGGACCTTGTGGCCAACATTCGATTGTTCTTGGTTTGTACTAATTTATGTTTTGACAGTTGTGTAACTGTATATTTGGTATTATTTCACCATCTTCTTAATTTTTACTGCTGTGTCTTCCTACTCAATATTTCTATTTTCCACCATTTGTTCAGGAAATTCACGAATCTTTCTTACTTTTAGGTGAGGATTAGAATTCCTTTGCAATTCATTATAAATGGGTTATTCTATTTGTACAGATACAATGGAGAGGTGCTTTAAATCCTTTTTTGTCTTTTAGTTCTCAGTTCGTCTTTACTGCGGGGCAGAGCAGATTGGTAGCTCGCAAGGCTCATAACCTTGAGGTCATGGGTTCAAATCCAGTCTCCGATGCATAATTTTTATGCTTGGTTTTTAAATTTTTTTTTTTTTTTTTTTTTTTTTACCATTTGTGAACGAATTTTTGCTGGTTGCCTGTTTCTTTTTTGTTTGCTTGCAGTCACTTGAATGTGGACTTAGTGAAAGTTAAAGAACCTTTTTCGTGGATGGACTTCTTACATGTTATTTTGGACTGTACATCCTGTGATTAGTTGAAAACAGAAGAGAGTATCTAATTCTCTGTTTTTGTTTTTTGTTCTGTAGGCTTGGATTTTTCTTTACTAATCATTTTGGTGTTTACGGACACTTGTTATTTTGGTTGTTTTTAGTTGATTTTGAGAGCGGTCTTTTGGAAAAGCTAAGAGACCCTTTACCTGGTTAAACTGCAGGAAATGATCAATGTTTCTGTAAGTTTGTATAAGGATATTGAGTCATTGGCATATCTTACCAAAGACCTGAGTTGTAATGTATTAAAGTGCCTTGAGTTGTTTATGGACATTTTTTTTGAAGACATAGCGGACAAAAAAGGGAGAAGATTATTGTGTAATAGTTGCATCCTCGGTCGCACAATTAGGTATCAGGTAAATGGACTTTAGTAAATAACTTAGTTTGACCTTTGATCTTGGTTTGGCTCATAAACTGTTTTGACTCAAAACTTTTAAGTTTTAGATTTTTTTTGATAGGTTGCAAATGTTGCTTCAATTGAACAGGATAGCTTGGATCGAATGATCAACCGATTGAATTGGTTTCAGGTAATATTTAGTTCAAAGTCAGAATTCATCGATTGCATGGTTGAAAGATGGAATGCCTGTGAGACTTCCGGTAAGCTTCGATCAATCGTACTTGTCAGACCTACGTATTTGGCGCCTATATAAGTAGTGGGGTGTTTTTATGTAGGACCTCAATGAAGGCCGGTAGTGCTCGGTAAATGTCATAGTGCAGTTGGGACCTTGTGGTAGGCAGCATTCGATTCGTCTTGGTTTGTGCTTATTTAGGTTTTGAAAGTTGTGTAACAGTGTATTTGGTATTATTTCACCTTCTTCCCAATTTTTACCCTTTTTATTCTTCCTTCGTCTATATTTCTCTTTTCCACCAGTTGTTCTGAAAATTCAAAGATCTTTCTTGCTTGATATATTAGGTGAGGATTACTATTCCCTTACAATTCATTATAAATGAGTTAATCTATTTGTACAGGTATAGTGGAGGTCCATGTTAAATCCTTGTTTGTCTATTAGTTCTCAGTTCCTGTCTTCAGCTTGGGGCCTCCACGAAATTATTTTTATTCTTTTTAAATTTTTTTATTTTTTATTTAGCATGTGTGAATTAAGTGTCTTGCTGGTTGCTCGTTACTTTTTTGCTTATTTGCAGTCACTTGAAGATGGACTTGGTGAAAGTTAAAGAGCCTTTTGTGTGGCTGGACTTCTTACTTGTTATTGGACTAAAAATCCTGTGATTAGTTAAAAACAGAAGAGAGTATCTAATTCTCTGTTTTGTTTTTTGTTCTTGGATATTGCTTGACATCTGTCTTTGGTGTTTACAAACTCGTGTTATTTTGCTTGTTTGTAGTTGATTTTGAGAGCGGACTTTTGCAAAAGCTAAGAGAACCTTTACCTGGTTAGACTGCAGGAAATTTTCCTTGTAGTAAGTTTGTATTAGGATATTGAGTCATTGGCATATCTTACCCAAAACCTAAGTTGCTATATATATCAAAGTTCCTTTAGTTTTTTATGGACATTTTTTTTTGAAGACATGGCAGACAAAAAATTGAGAAGATCATGGTGAAATATTTGCATCCTCAATTTTGCAATTAGGTACAGGTAAATGGTCTTTAGTAAATACCTTAGTTTGACCTTTGATCTTGGTTTGCTTCTAAACTTGTTTTGATTCTAAACTTCTAAGTTTTTAGATTTTTTTTCGAAAGCTTGGAATTTATGCATTGATCGATTTAGAGAGATTTGATCAAATGATCAACTGATTGAATTGGTTTTAGGTATTATTTAGTTCAAATTCAGAATGCATCTATTGCATGGTGGATAGGTTGAATTCCTTTTGGACTTGTAGCCTTCGATCAATTGAACTTGTTGGACCTACGTATTCGGTGCCTGTATAATAGTATTGGCGTGTTTTTATGTAGGATCTCAATGAAGGCCAGTAGTGTTCGGGAGATGTCATAGTGCAATCGGGACCTTGTGGTATGCAGCATTTGATTCATCTTGGTTTGTGCTTATATTTGCTATTATTTCACCGTTTATTCTTCCTTCGTCTATATTTCTCTTTTCCACCATTTGTTCTGAAAATCCATGGATCTTTCTTACACTGAATATTAGGTGAGGATTGCCATTCCTTTACAATTCATTACAAATGGCTTATTATATTTGTACAGATATAGTGGGGGAGCGTATTAAATCCTCGTTTGTCTATTAGCTCTCAGTTCTTGTCTTCAGTGTGGGTTAGAGCAGTGTGGTGGCTCGCGAGGCTCCTAACCTTGATGACATGGGTTCAATTCTTGTCTATGCAACATTATATTTATTATTGGGGATTTTTTTTTAGCATGTGTGAACAAGTGTGTGTTGCTTTTTGCTCGTTACTTTTTTGCTTGTTTGCTGTCACTTGAATATGGACTTGGTGAAAGTTCAAGAGCCTTTTGCGTTGCTGGACTTCTTACTTGCTATTGAAGATGGACTTCTTACCTCTGATTAGTTGAAAACAGAAGAGTATCTAATTTTCTGTTTTTGTTTGTTGCTTGACCTCTCTCTTTGATGTTTACGAACATTTGTTATCTTGCTTGTTTGAAGTTGATTTTGTGAGCGGTCTTTTGGAAGAGCTAAGAGAACCTTTACCTGGTTAGACTGCAGGAAATGATCGATGTTTCTGTTAGTTTGTTTTAGGATATTGAGTCATTGGCATATCTTACCTAAAACCTGAGTTGTAATGTTTCAAATTGCCTTGACTTCGTACCTGCGCTGAGTTGAAAACAGAGGAGAGTATCTAATTCTCTGCTTTTGATTTTTGTTCTTGGTTTTGCTTGACCTCTCCATTTGATGTTTACAAACATTTGTTATTTTACTTGTTTGAAGTTGATTTTGGGAGCGGTCTTTTGGAAGATCTAAGAGAACCTTTACCTTGTTCGACTGCAGGAAATGATCGATGTTTCTGTAAGTTTGTATTAGGATATTGAGTCATTGGCATATCTTATCTAAAACTTGAGTTGTAATATATCGATATTCCTTGAGTTGTTTGTGGACATTTTTTTGAAGACATGGTTGGCAAAAAATGAGAAGATCATTGTGGAATATTTGCATCCTAAATCGCATAATTAGGTATCATGTAAATGGACTTTAGTAAATAACTTAGTTTGACCTTTGATCTTGGTTTGACTCATAAACTGTCTTGATTCAAAACTTTAAGTTTTAGATTTTTTTTTTCAAAAGCTTGCAAATACTGCTTTGATCTATCCAGATAGATTTTATCGAATGATCAACCGATTGAATTGGTTTAAGGTAATATTTAGTTCAAAGTCAGAATGCATCGATTGCATGATCGATAGATTGAATGCCTATTAGACTGCCAACAAGTGTCAATCAATCGTACTTGTCAGACCTATGTATTCTGTGCCTGTATAATAGTAGTGTGGTGTTTTTATGTAGGATCTCAATGAAGGCCTGCAGTGTTTGGGAAATGTCATAGTTCAGTCGGAACCTTGTGATAGGAAGCATTCGATTCGTCTTGGTTTGTGCTTATTTACGTTTTGAAAGTTGTGCAACATTATATTTGGTATTATTTCACCATCATCCCAATATTTACCACTGTGTTTATTCTTCCTTTATCTATATTTATTTTTTCCACCATTTGTTCTGAAAATTCATCGATCTTTCATACTTGGAATATTAGGTGAGGATTGCCATTCCTTTACAATTCATTACATATGGCTTAGAGAACCTTTACCTGGTTAGACTGCAGGAAATGATCGATGTTTCTGCAAGTTTGTATTAGGATATTGAGTCATTAGCATATCTTACCCAAAACCTTTATTGTAATGTATCAAGCCTTGAGTTGTTTATGGACATTTTTGAAGACATGGTGGACAAAAAATGAGAAGATTCATTGCGGAATATTTATTATTTGCATCCACAATTAGGTATCAGGTAAATGTACTTTAGTAAATAACTTAGTTTGACCTTTGATCTTGGTTTGGCATTAATTGTTTTTATTCAAAACTTAAAGTTTTAGATTATTTTCAAAGGCTTTCAAATTATGCTTTGATCGATCCAGATAGCTTTGATAGATACAGATAGCTTTGATCAAATGATCAGCCGATTGAATTGGTTTCAGCTAATATTTAGTTCAAAGTCAGAATGCATCTATTTCATTGTCGATAGATTTGAATGCCTCTGAGACGTAAGCTTCAATTAATCGTACTTGTCAGACCTACATATTCGGTGCCTGTATAATAGTATTGGTGTGTTTTTATGTAGGATCTCAATGAAGGCTAGTAGTGTTTGGGAAATGTCATAGTGCAATCGGAATCTTGTGGTAGGCAGCATTCGATTCATTTTTGTTTGTGCTTATATTTGGTATCATTTCACCATCATCCCAAATTTTACCGCTTTGCTTATTCTTCCTTCATCTATATTTCTCTTTTCCACCATTTGTTCTGAAAATTCATGTATCTTTCTTACACTGAATTTTAGGTGAGGATTGCTATTCCTTTACAATTCATTACAACTGGCTTATTGTATTTGTACAGATA